AATAGGCGTCACTACATCCATTAAAATATACAGTCTATGGCCATCACGCATGAGAGAGATCAAAGCACCAAACTTGTTCTGACCAGGACAGCGGTTCATATGCGATGGAAGTCCGCCTATTTGGCCCGACTGGAGCAGTGCAGATTCATTAGTGTGCTCTCTGCCTCTCTGATTTACTACTACTGCAGCTACAATGGCCCCCTCCGCACACACACACACACACGCACGGTTTCTCTCTCACTCAAATCAGACGCATTAAAACAAATCACAGGAGTGCTTCTAACTGCACTTACTGGGCACATTAAAGGCAGGCGCCACTTACTTTCCTTACCTGGTCCAGAGACATGGTGGCTAACCTAATCTGAGTTGTGGGGCAGATGTTTTAAAGAGTGTATCAATGGGTTTCATAATGTGCATGATTGAATCTACTGCACAGACAGGCAGATGTAATGGTAGCTTTAGTAGGTAGCTCATGAAAAAATATTGAAACTTGGATTTAGTCATACATGAGTAGATAGTTGAATATGATTGAATTTACTGTTTGCAAAATCATTTAGAAAACTGCATGTGCCAGGAGTAAGACATGTACATTATATCAATTCCGGGTGCTAATAATAATAATCAGTCCAAAAATACTGTCAGAAGAAAATTGGCCATTGGCCACAAAAACAGGTGATAGTTCGTAGTCTTCACTCTGCTGACTTTTAGATACAATGCAGTATTTTTGTGTGGTATACAGTTGTAGTAACTAAGGCAAAAGGGAGAGAGAACTGTGAAAGAAATGTTCAAATGCCAAAGGCCGTCTCATAATAAAACTAAAAGCAGGCTGTACAATCTAAGCTGCTTAAGAGCAAACTTTTTTTTATTTACAGCTAAACAACATTTACAGGCTGCAAAACACTTTTTTTTCACCATTCTTCAAAGCAGAGTGAAATAAGAATAATTTATTCTGCTTGTGTATATTTACCTAAACTAGAAGGGTCTAGCTTTAAAATGATGCATTGTACAAGGATGTGACCTGTAAAATCAAAATTGAGACTGAGCCAGTGGAGTGAAAATGTGTATTTTTCTCAAAGTTGATTTTCAATATAAATGATAATCAGTAAGCAGATGTATTATTCAAGTCAATATGTTTACATCATCCTCATTTTTGATCAGACCAATTTGGTTCTGCACCGTCGTACACTGATGTTGTACTGAAAACATTTAGCAGATGCCTCTTTAGTGAGTGCTGTCTTTTGAACGGGCTTCAAACTCCAGCTGCCGCATTTTTAGCCTTTTTAGAGCCACAGTGTTATTTAAGCCTCTCGACTGCGATGTACAAGCATCATCAGAGGTGGTGCAGCACATCTCACAGATGAGCAGGTTTTTGTGAGACTGTGGATTAGCCGCTCAGCAGCACTGATCTCCCGTCCTCTGCCTTTGTTCGGAGCAGGGTCAGTGCAAGGCCTGTGTACACTTAGAAATGATGCAGGAGCAATGTGTTTGAAAGGAGCAGAGAGGAGCTGCCTGCATCGATTACTCCCATATCGTCCCCCTTTTTAATGGCAGTGTGGTTTTAACACCAGGACTCCCAGAAGTCTGAAACTACTAGAACTCCCAGAGCCATCATTTTTACTCCTACTATTCAAATCGATGGGATTCTGAGAAATAACCCCAGAGAATGTTAAGTTATCGTCATGTATATGTTTCTTTTTTTTCACCTTTAATCACTTTTAATAGATGCTAAAACAAGTCATTATAACTTAAGATACAGAAAAAGTTGTGAAGACCACAAATGTACATGAGATGAGTAATTACACTTCTAAAACTAAAAGCCCATTACACTTCTAAAACTTCCAGAGCAGTCATGCTTGTAGTGTTAAAAGACTGTATATGGATTATAGAACATTTGGCAGCAATATAACAGTTGACTGGAAGATGACTGTACACTTCAAACATCATAAAAAATCAAGCTGCTTTTAAAAATGAATGCCCCTAAATGTTCAAATGCTTTGAATGTTTCGAAGCTTCTCTGTCTATAACAGGGCAGCGACATGTAATAAGATCAAATGTTGATGCTCTTCCTCCCCTCTGAATTCTAATCATATCTTGTGCTGTGTGAAGATTCAGAAAAAGGGTGCCACAAACGGGTGCTTTGAAGATGAAGTCATGAGCTATAAAGGCCGCGGGAGATTGACTTGAATATTGATATCACAATGTATGTATAACAACATTTAACTGTTCTAAATAGTTGTTTTCAAGGTATGTGGGTCATGTGTCATTTTCTCTTTTAAAGATGATATTAATATAATCATATACAACATATCGAACATATGGATTTCCCCTGTGAGATACATATATATAGCACTCATCAACATGTTTTCTGGGTCAGTGTTTGTAAACAGCCCTTACCCCATGTCCCAGTTTCATATAGATTTTCCCTCTTATCTGTGTTTTGCTATTGACATTGAAATGTTCATTCAGGGAGACCTGCAACAGTAGAAATAATAATAATAATAAAGAAATAGTTGTATAAATAAATGTATTTATTTGACTATTAATGCTTTAGGAGTAAGCTGTCTTATGTATCTCATTTGATAATACTACATAATCCATGGAAGGTTTAAGGCTGAATGCAACGATACTGATATAGTCCTCTTTTTCCTTCAGAGCCTGTCGATACGAGACGGATCTCGATATGTATGACATGACGTGTATACAGGGGACTGTGATCTGATTCAATATGATGTATCTCTAAATGCTGATTTTGGCCCCTCAGTAAACTTCAAATAAAAATATAATAAACAAAAATGTATTGAGAATTTTTATCGAAGTCAAAATATAAAAAATATATATTATCTTTGTTTACCGTGTAAGAATTAAAACATATTTCAAGGGGTAAAGTGTAGAAAAAAATGTAAATAGAAATTGTGTATTACTAAAGAGCATACAAATAATGTGTATCATAACAAAAAAATACATACACATACACACATGAAATGAAACTCAAAAGACGAAGTTGAATGTCAAAATAAAACAGATAAACAAACTCCCCATGACAGCGATGAAAGTGACACAGGTTGATGGAAACTCCACTCCTATTCAAAGTCATAATGAAATGAAATAGATATAGTTTATTTCTCCAATGCTTTAAAAGTTGTCCTCCACTGATACCGAGATGAGAGCAGAGGAGGAGCTCAGGGTGCGAGCTGCAGGTCTTTAAATAGAGCATCTTGTCCCAGTCTCCTCAGGGACGGCCTCATCTTTCACTCTGCACCACTTCTGCTGCAGCGACCTGTGGAAGGAGCCAGACCACTGCAGTCTGCTACCAGCAATGCAACTCAGGAACCATTTGAGAATAGACTATAAAGAAAAATCAATAGTGTAATAGTGTGATTTATATGTATTATTAATTACAGTCTATTGATGTAACTATTACTTGAGGCTGTGGCACCTAAATAGTTTGGTGTCTCATGGTTCGTAGTTGTTTGTCTGAACAGAGAGGTTAGTTACAGTAAATTAGACCACAATAGGCCGTTTTTGTCTTATTAGAAAATATGTTATCGTTTGTATACTAAGAGCTGAGTGAGGGTGGTTTCTGCTGTTTTGGTTTTCTGTCTGAAAATGCTGAAAGACGTGACAGAGAGCATAAAAACATGGATGTGAAAACTGTATAGAACCAAACTTCTTTGAAAGCTTGGAAATAGTTAGAGGCAATTTTATAACATGTTTTCTGATTGGAAAGTTAGGTGCTGCAGCTTTCTTAGTTTGTACAGTGGAAAAGTGGTCAGTCAAAATCTCCACCTATGTCTTGTTGATAATTTTGTGGTAATTCCATAACTGTTTTTTTCAGGGGGGAAAACCCCAAATCTAAACCACACAAATGTTGATATACTTCATTACATTGAGATAATATTGTAGATTGAGGTTATTCTCAGAAGCCGTCCTTTGAAGTCTGCTCGTCTTCCTTTTCCTGAGACCACAGTGAAACCTTACGCTCCACTCCCATTTCCCTGTGTGTCCGTTGTCTATTATTTTCTGGTTTGTTGATTGATTGATGCTGTGGGCAGTTGGAGGTGATTGTGTATCTGCTTCCTGTTTGAAAAGCACCTCAGGCTTCAGACTATTTCAACCAGATTAGAGCTGCAATCAGGACCAGGATTCTCAGGATCATTATGGTCACAAGCGGCTCAGAGGATAACCTGATCAGTCTGGACAGGGGCCACGGCTGGACCGCAGAACACTGATTTTATTTGGAGCAAAGAGAAAGATAAATTGAAGGTTTTATTTAATCTAATATCCATGTTCATAATGAGTAATGTTGTAATTGTATACTATATCTTTGCATGTACATTCAAAAGATGTCTGGTTGAGTTTTCCCTCATTGATTGAATAATTTTTTTTAAATAAAATGTTAGTATTATATTTATTTATTGTGTCAATATATTAATTTACCTTGGTGATTTTTTTCTCTCCCTCGCACAAAAAAAATCCTTATATTTTACCAATCTAATCTAATCTAATTATGCATTTACTTTTTACTTTGTTACTGTAGCCACAGTAGGATGCTGGGGCTGTAAGGCCTTCAATCTGCCCCACTGTTCAACCACCATCAACCCTTCACACACACACATGAAATGTTCATTAAGCTTGGGGCGATTAGACCAAGAGGAATACTGCATGACGTATACTGGAGGAAATTTAATAGAAATTATGAGCTTTCAAACCGCCAGGGCCTAGATCCTGGTGGTAAAGAAATCTGAGCCGAAACATGACACTTCACTGAAAAGATGGGGAGGAGATGGGTTGCTGCCTAAACAGCAGCTTGAGCTGCAGAGAACTTAGAGGCTCTGTTTAAAAGAAGCCATGAAGTGATGCATAGGTTTGTTACTGAGCAGCTCAGGCTGATTGCTGTTGAGCTCAGGCGTGTATAGGAAACTTCAAACGTCTTAAGCCGGTCTTCTTGTAGATAGTTATTCAAACTGTGGTCACCTCATACCTCCTTGCTGTGTTTATAGGAAGGACCAGCATCTCCTGTCGTCCGTGAACTGCTGGTACCTGGTCCTGAACCAGACCAGGAGGGAGAGCCGGGACCACGCTACCCTCAGTGACATCTATACCAACAACGTCATTGTGCGCCTGGCCCAGATCTGTGAGGACGTCCTCCGACTCTTCAAAAAGGTGAGTCCATTCGATACTTCTTCTCTACTGCTTTGGTCACTAATGTGGATGTGGATGTAAGGACCCCGTACTCAGGGCGTCACAGGTTGTGTTTGGATATGCTTTCTCCCCAGTGTGTGAAACACCTGTCAATATTCAAGGGGGTACCTGATTTTTTTTCACACACGCCCACACTTCACTTGCTGCACAGAATATAAGAACAGTCTTGATGGGAAAACAATATGACGCGCCAGAGCATGACATTTATGGACACTGGTCATCCGCCCCCTTATGGACTGATGACTGTTTGTTTTTATCATTCATTTCTTGTGTTTGAACTACTTTATTCTCTGATCACTGTTGGCAAACTCAACGGTTTTGTAGAGTCCTTTGAGATAACTTCTGTTGAGATTTAGGAATATACAAAAATGATTTGAATTGAATTGAATGTATAGGATACATGCATAAAGACTTGAACGTACAATTCTATTAAACTAGTTGTTAAGAACTTGTCTAGTCACCTGATGGCTGAAGATTATTGCATTTTTAAGCATCTGCTCATTCCTAATTCTTCTGAAGACCAAAGACGTCTCTAGTTTGCCTGAAAAAGGTGCGGTGTGTTGATGGATTTCTGTTAAACGCACTTGCTTAAATTGCTTTTTATTAAACTATCCAAATGGATGTCTGTCTTGTGAACTGGCGAGGAATGACGTAGGCTGATAAGCCCTCTATTGTGTGAATAAACTTTGTAAAATACCCTATTTCTACTTAAGAAACAACATTTGAATAATGCGTTTAGACACCATCCTGAATGCCAAGAACCAGATTCACACAAATCATGTTGGACGTGTGACTTTACTGAATAATATGCTCCACCAAAAACCAATGAACTCCCTAAATGTGATGATTTTAGAGCAGTAGTGGTGGTTACTCTGTGTTGCATCAGAAGTGTCCCCCCTCTGCCTCTGCACGCCGCCTCGCTCTGGGTTTCCCTCATTCATTGTGTTCACTGCACTGTATGTTGCCTCCTGAAAGCATTTACAGACGACACAGGCGACACGTGCACTCTCCCTTCACATGTGATTGGCCCATGTCTCAGTGCCTCAGTGCCGTGATCGTATACCATGGGCCCAGGGTGTGGGTTGGTCGGACTTTCATCGGCCCATAAATCCCTTTGAGCTCTGCGGCTGCGTGTTTCGACTGTTTGCTTAACCTTTGTCTTCAGCTGTTTTCAGACCTCGGTCACGCCCTGTGTTTAAGGGAATTAAAATGATACCAAGATGAATAATGATTAGTCATATTAGAAACCACTGGTATGCATCAAGTTAGGGCAGAACGGTATGCCAATGTTCAGAGAATAATTCAAATTTAGGAATAGTGGTTCTGTCACAAATAATCCATTCAATTTATTACAAAGTATCAAAAGTAAAATGTTAAAAGTAATAATTCAACTACAAAATGAAGCCATCTACCAAATAATACAATTCCAGACTATGACAGGGTTCAGTTTGGGGTCACTCCTCCCATATTTACATAACGGTGTGTTAGAAAGCTGCTACATTTGTGTCTTTGAATCCAGTGTTCGTGGATTCTCCTCACAGCTCTCACTCGTTCCTCAAACAAAGCATGTGTTATCATGTAACCTCAGCTCAAAAACGTGTCTTCATATTCTCTGCGTCAGATTCAGATTCAGATTCATTTTATTCGCCATTTGCAGTATGTATACACCACATTGGAATATATTTGTAAAAGTTCCCCGTGTGCACAGGACAAGTACAGACACAAAACAACATTAAAAGACAAAAATAAAACAAATTTTAAAAACAGTAAACAAATGTCACAACAAATGTCACCGTGAAGTTGACCAACTTAAAACAGATCTATACGAGTGCAAAACATTAAAGTGCTCTATTCAAACTGTTAACAGCTCGTGGAAAAAAACTGTTAGCATGACGAGATGTCCTGCATCTCAGAGAACAGTATCTTCTGCCAGAGGGAAGAAGCTGGAACAAGGCTTTTCCTGGGTGGCCAGAAGAGTCTCTGATAATTCTCAGGGCACTGTTAAAAAGTCTGGATTGATAAAGAACCTCCAGAACAGGAAGCTCGCAGCCCACGGTCCTCTCTGCAGAGCGGAGCACCTTGTTTGAAGCTCTCTTTTCTTTATCTGTGATGTTACCGAACCACACAGACACAGAACCAACAAGCAAACTCTCAATGGTGCAGCGATAAAAGTTCAACAGAATCTTAGAGTTAGTGGTAAATTCTCTAAGTTTCCGCAGGAAGTAGAGACGCTGACGAGCTTTCTTTACGACTCGGTCAGTGTTTTTAACCCATTTCAGGTCATCAGACAGAGTTAGACCCAGAAACTTACACTCCTCTACAATCTGCACTTGGGAGTTATCGATTGCGACAGGCAAATGAGAACTATTGCGACTGAAATCAAAGACCAGTTCGCATGTTTTGGATGCGTTCAGCTGGAGGTTGTTAGCCTTACTCCACTGAACCACGTTTTGGATCTCGGCTCTATAAGAGGATTCATCGTTATTACTGATGAGACCGATGATGGTGGTGTCATCAGCATATTTGATGATCAGGTTAGAGTCTGAGGAAGACACACAATCATGAGTGTACAGTGTAAAAAGTAAAGGACTCAAAATACATCCCTGAGGAGATCCAGTGCTCACAGAAACAACATCTGAAAAACAGTCATTGATTTTCACTCTCTGAGATCTGTCAGTTAAAAAGCTATAGATCCATTTACACATGGCAACACTTAAACCCAGAGACATGAGCTTTTCAATCAGTTTACCTGGGACAAGACAATTAAAAGCAGAGCTATAATCAATGAACAGCATTCTTGCAACAGATTTCCTATTGTCCAAGTGACTGTAGACAGAGTTCAGAGCAAAGGAGATGGCATCCTCCACACTCCTGTTCTGTCTGTAAGCAAACTGGAGCGGGTCAACACTCACAGGGATCTGGCTCTTAATGAAGTCCAGCACAAGCCGCTCGAAAGTCTTCATTAGGACAGAAGTGAGGGCCACAGGGCGATAGTCATTAAGGCATGTCACAGGAGTTTTCTTAGGAACTGGGATAATGGTCGACTCTTTAAAGCAGTTCGGCACAGTACAGTTCCTTAGCGACAGGTTAAAAATGTCTGTTAGCACAGGAGCAAGTTGCTCAGAGCACAGTTTCAGGACACGAGGAGGGATGCCGTCCGGGCCAGGGGCTTTCCGGACAATGGTGCTGGACAAGACACGCCTGACTTCCTCCTGAGTCACGGTGAACGCACCTTGATTGAGGCAATCAGGAAAGACAGTAGGACAGGCATCGGCAGATTCGAAGCGGCAGTAGAACGTGTTCAGCTCATTAGGCAGAGCTGGGCCAACAGATCCGATTTTCCCGGCACTAGGTTTCCAGGACGTGATGGCTTTAATACCGCTCCACATGCGCCGAGGGTCATCTTCCTTAAAATAACCCTTTAACTTGTCCCCATAACTGCGCTTTGCAGATTTAATAGAACGTTTCAATGCATAACAGGATAGCTTATAGGCAACTGTATCGTTAGATTGAAACGCCAGAGCACGCTCATGAAGTTTTTGTTTCACTTCCGCATTCATCCAAGGGTTTTGACTGAGATGTACTTTAATGACCTTCTGTGGGACACAGCAGTCAATACAGGAGCGTATGTATCCAGACACAGCGTCACAGAATTCATTAACATCCTCTGATTGAAACACAGACCAGTCAGTGGCATCAAAACACCCTTGTAGCTTCATGCTAGCCTCCTCGGACCAACACTGCACAGTGCGTGAGGTTGGTTTATGTTCCCTGCTCCTCTGAGAGTATGAGGGAAGAAGGAGAACAGAGGAGTGATCGGACTTTCCAAATGGAGGTCTGAGACTGGACCTGTAAGCTCCCTTCACATTGCTGTAGCAGTGATCCAGAACATGTGCTCCTCTTGTAGCTCGAGTCACATGTTGGTAGAAATTTGGGAGTACAGTCTTTAAATTACATTTGTTAAAATCCCCAGCGACAATAATCACTGCATTAGGATGAGCAGTCTCGTATTTATGAAGGATCTCGCTCAGATCCTGTAGTGCTACAGTATAGTCCGCTCGTGGGTGGATGTAAACAGCGCATAGAAATATCACAGAAAACTCCCGCGGAAGATAAAAAGGGCGACAGCTCAAGACCAGGCATTCCAGATTTGCAGTACATGTTTGGTTCACGATGCGAGTGTCCGTGCACCAGCGCTGATTAATTAAAAAGCACACACCTCCACCTCTGGATTTCCCCGTGGTCTCCTTTTCTCTGTCCGCGCGGTGAACGGTGAATCCCGGGGGCTGAACAGCAGAGTCCGGGACGCCTGGATGGAGCCACGTCTCGCTGAGACAGAACACAGCGCAGTCTCGGGCCTCTCGCTGGCTCTGGACCCGACACAGAAGCTCGTCCGTCTTGTTGGGCAGAGACTGGACGTTGGCCAGGTAGATGGAGGGCAAAGGGGTCCTGGAGGAGCGGCTACGAACGAGCAGACCGCCTCGTTTTCCCCGGTGTCTGCGCCTCCTGCGTCGGCTCCCGGTACCCTGCTCCACACCGCGGAGAGCACGATGGAGACGCCCAGTCCCCCCACTCTGTTCGCGGCCATTGCCGCGGCCCGCCTGCCCTGTTTGACGGGCCTCACGAGTGGGGCACTCAATAAAGTCCAAGCACCTCAGTTCGGGTAAGACCTGCGATACTCCACAAGCTTGGTCCCGAATGTATAGAAGTGTCTCCCGGTCGTACTTCACGGTGGCAAGTGTATCACAGACGAAAAACAACATAGAACAGACAGTGCACACCAGAGCTCTTACTGAGGCGCCCTGACCCGGCGCCATCTTGCAGGATGTTCCATCGCCACCAAAATGGCTTGGCGTCTGCTTCCACCTCGTGCGCACACGCTCAAATGATCTCATGCTGTGAGTTGTTTCAACACGATGTACTATATTGTTCATTAATTATAGATTAGACAATTGTTCTGAAGAGATGTTATTTCCCTCAATTCATTCATGGATCTTTAATTATGTTTTTGTTGAAAAAAATAAAAAAAAACAGTTGAATAAGGATCACAACACCATTTTAGGTAAAAATGAGCCTGTTAGACTAATTAGCAGTTGGAATTGTTTTACCTACTCAAAGGGTTAGGGTTAGGGTTACCACTCTCTGAAACTCACTCCCACAACCCGTCAGAACTCACTACAGAACTTTTAATCACCCATCTGTTTCATCTTGCCAACTCTTGATTTTTCAAGTTTTTTTTGTATGTTTTGTAAATTGTGTTGTGTTATTGAGTGTCCATAAAGCGCTATATGAATTTTATGCATTATCATTTTTATTTTTATTAATCATGCCTTAGTGAGGAAAATGACAAACGATATAGAGGTCTGGGACCGTGTCACAGCAGAAGACATTTTATTGTTGTCGGTAAAAAAGACCAAAGATTTGCAGCATGCATGTGATTTTAAACCAGAGGAATCAAAGTCCTCCTCTGAGCCTCTGGGATGACACCAGGAACTCCGACCTTCAGATTACCAAAACATCAAGTGGAAATCCATTGGCTTCTGTGTAGTGTTAGAATGACAAGCTTAGATTTAACCATAAAGTGTCATTAGAGATCTATATTAGTAATATTCATTATTGTGTTCAGGGCCTTGCTTTGACTCTGAGATGTGTCACTGGGATTCTCTTGATCCCAGATATAAATATAGTACACTTTTACATATAAAGATTACAGAGAATTTGACAATATCTTAAAATATATTCTGTAAAAATGCAGAAAATCCTTGTCACAGTTTTGAACCGGGAAGTACTGCGTCTTTAGTTACAAAATTCACATTATATTTCACTCTAACACTATAAGTTTAATCCATGCATTATTTTTATGTTTATAAAGTTATTATGTTTATCTTTTCCAGAGCAAAGAAATTGGAATACAGATGCACGAGGAACTGGTGAAAGTGACCAACGAACTCTACACTGTGAGTATCTCTTAATCTTCATCACACATTATTTTCCTCCACTGATATGTACTTGTTTAGTTTTTATCTACTGAGCCCAAATGTATCTAACTTCTTTGTGCATGAATAATACATTTGGTTTTTTTTGTAAGAAAGAGCCCTCTGAGTCACTATTTGACACTTTGGTCTGAGAGCTGCCCAAAGAAATGACAGAGAACCAAACTGATTGTAATTACATTGTGTTGTATCTTTGCACCTTTCACACAACAAATCTTAATAATCACAATATAATTTAGTTTTTTTTTTTCTAATTGTAAAATGCATGCGATTTTTGAAAACATGTGATCTAATGTTCATAATGGCCGAAGAAACTACTACTACTAAAGTTAGGAACCCCAACTTTAAAAGAAATTAGCTTTGACATTTTTTTTCATAATTGGTTCAATATACTTTGAAAAACACATAACTACAGATGTATTATTTATTGATTTATTTCATTTCATTTTTTATAATGTTTTAACAGGGTTGAAATCACTATAACAACAATATATGTTATCTTGGTCTGCATTTGATCTTGGGTTAGCTAGAATGAATGTTGAATGTACAACACTTCCTTGATCTCGGTAGCTATTGTGAAAAACGTCTCCTCATGTATTCTGGTTCGTTAGCCAACAACCATCTACAGAAATGGCTCCAAAGGCTTGTGGTTTTCGGTGTCTTTATCTTCCTGCTGTAAAGAGCTTCCTGAAGCTGCTTTCCATATGAAAAGAGAGTGTGGAAGTGGGCTTTTCAGAATCCAGCAAATGTTGGACAAACCCAAATACATTTTCATTAATTCACTGCATTAAAAACCTTGTACGGCTGTTTTGTTGTCGGAGAGAAAACATCTTAGCAGAAGTGTGAGTTTGTCTTCCTCCCACTGTGTAGTGATTTGCATATTATTGGCATACCAACATTGTTGGATTTAGCCCCCGGGCCTGTCTGATCCATGCCCAGGACAAAACTGATCTTTGTGGCTCGTTTTCCCATTCATACAGTCACATTTTTATCTTTAATTTAATTTTGTAATGAATTAATGGTTGTTTGAGTGATATTGCAAAACATGGTGAGAGCGGTTTTGCTACTGATTACATAGTACAGGATACATGTGCGTTTATAATTTCTGATAACTTTGTTGTTAGCACTTGACATTAACCTGTGCTAAATTAAAGTTGGGGTATCTAACTTTCAAACTACAAAACATTGAGTGATGTAATAAAATCGATAAAATGTTTTCTTATTGAGCATATTGTGGTCTGATTTGTTCTCGACATTTTTTACAAAACTCTCTGTTGGGTCAATCCACATGTATTATTATTATTTTTAAAGTTAGGTACCCCAGCTTTAAGCATGGGCACCAGACTGTCCACAGCCTTGATCCCAGTCTGCATGGGCTTGATATGTGCAGACCTTCCACAATCCCAAATGTTTGAAAATGTAATATGTCTTGGTGCCAGTACTATAGTTCATTGGTTCCGTGCAGCACCTGAACAGTGATATAGGTGTGTGCTAGAGCCAGCTGCTGTTTTCTGGTCCCGTCCCAGGTCGTGTTAAATCAGGACAAAGGGGCTCGTCTGGACCGGCTCCAGGCAACTTCAGCAGTCCTGTGCCCCCCCAAAGAGCCGCACGCTGGTGGAGATGTTTGTGATTTATTCATCAGTGCAGTGTGATGAGAGTGGGATGAGCAAAGGGCAGAGCTGGCACTGCCCTCCGCTTTTGCCATCTGTGCGTTTGGATCCAACAATCTTTGAATTCTGTAGGGAGCTGCAGTGAGAGAGATATAAGGGGTAATGGGTTTGTTTAAGCTCCTTTGTGCTGGCCTTGTTAATGCCTTTGCGTACAGACAGCATCTTGTAACAATATTTATCCTACTCTTTTACACTCATAATTTTGTTATGCTCTTAGTGAGATTAAGCGATGCCTTACATTGACACTTCCTTCTTACTGCAATAAGCATATTTGCCTCTCTGACCCCTACCAAGCACACACACCAGAGTCATTCTAGGCAATGTGTGTGAAGTGTCTTGTCTAAGGACCCACTGTCGCATCTGATGTTTCCGGAGGTCTCCCATCACATTACTAACCATGCCCTGTCCTGCTTAGCACCTGCATGTGCTGCTTTGTCTTATTGTACGTGTCCTTTCAAATCTTGGTTTGTGTTTATTACACTAGATAGAAGAGAAATGCTACCAGTGGCTGTTCTTTACTGGATGTGCCGTGTGTGAGAAGGCCCTGAGCTGTGGCCAGACACTTTGATCATGCAGCAAAAACAGGATTAAGTAACTGATACATGCTTGCTAATGCTGTTAGCCTGGCCCTTTGCTGTAGACGCTCACCTCCTGCTGACCCAGCATCCCTTTTGGCAGAGTCCACCACGTCCTAAATGCAGCTCGGTGTTCGACCTCCCGGAAACACCACAATCAATATCACAGCCTCATTGTGGGGATTACCTCTGCTGCTCGCTGTCTTCTCTTTCAGCAGAGGAACAAAGGGGAAAATAGAAGAAACAGAAAGATATATCAAATAAGATCAAGATAGAAATAACAAAAACATTTGTTCCTCTGTGTCTGGAAAGTCACCTAAAAAATTCTTATGAAGCCACAGTTCAAACAGACATGAACTAACAGGGAAACTGCGACCCAAATGGAGAAAGCGCTAAAGTCCCTGTTAATTTCCTGTTGGAGCGACTGAATATCCATCTAGGATCAATATCTTTTTCTAGTTTCCTGTTTCTGTTGCATATACAGATTAAACCCAACCTCATCTTAGTAAAAGAACAAAAAACTTCTTTCTTGGATGAAAAGAGCTGAATTTGTCTGAGGCTGACTGAGACTTTGGAGTCAGAGTATTCACTAGTTTGTTCCTATCTAACAGGTTTTTATTCTTTCTGATTGGAGTGTGCATGTTCTCCTCGTGTCGCAATAGGTTTCCTCTGGGTGCTCCGGTCTCCGACCATTAAAAAAACATATAGGTGTAAGTAGGGCTGGGCAATAAATCAAATTTAGGCAATTAATCGGCTTTTGAAAAAATCCAATTTGTGAGAAATATTAAAATCGTGAAATCGAATGAAGGATATTATGAGAGTTCTAGAAGCACATGAATTACTATACTTGCAATATCAGCACAGTCTGTACAAGACTTTTATAATACGTATTGGGGGAAAAAAATTTAAATCATATTGTTAACTTGAATATTGAACGGAAAGATCAAAACATATGTTTAAGGGTAAAGTCCGTCTTCAGTGACTTTAATGAAAATCTATTTAAAATCAAAATCGTCCAAAGCAGGAAATAAAATCGAGATTTTACTTTTTTGCCATATCGCCCAGCCCACCCAGATGTATCGGAGCCATACCGTTTTTCCGAACCAGGTAGTTTCCAGTTGCTCCATAAGGCCCCATTTTACTGTGTAGAGGTGGAAGGTCAATGGAAGATTGCAGCTGTGAGTTAGACTAATGGCATCCACAAGTGCTGCTTGGAGAGCCTCTTGTGGAGTTAAGAGGAACCCTATGGCTTTAGAGCATGCTTTCTATTTGATCACAGGAAAGCTGAAGGAAACAAATAAATGCATGTTTATGTTGACCCTGGCACATCCTGAAGACTGCCTGTAAATATGTGCCAACAATGTGAGCAGTTTAGTACTTTACCATCTGGGGTCTGTAAGTGGAGCCTGGAAAAAGTCAGAGGCTAACACTGCAAAAAGTGATGAAAAAAATATCTTAATTTGAGCATTTTGACTGCCTTATCCTTTTAACATTCACTCCTTGAAGAAATGTTTTTATTTTTTTCTGTTTTGGTTTTTCCCAGATGTAGGAGCGCTAATAACACAAATAATTTGTTTTAACGTTTTTCATTTTTTAAATCTCTTACTTCGTTTACATTATAGGCCTTTACCAATTGGTTGAGATGCAGTTGATGAAAGTTCCTAAAACAAAGTGAGATGCTCTAAAGAGGTATATTTCAGTTCCAAGCTTGCTGATATTTTGACTCAAAAGATGATCTTACTACATTGTTGAGGAAATTATTAAAGGGTTAGAACAAGATTTGTCAAATCAAAATGATCTTGTTTTAAAAAATAAATAAGAAATGTCTCGCTAGAAATTAGAAAATTACTCTACAGTTCTTGAAATAAGACAAAATGGTTTGTCCCATTAGCAAATCTTGTTTTAAGACAGAATGTGGTCAAATTAAGAGATTAACAACTTGATTCAAGCAATTACCTCATATTTTATCATTTTTTTTTGTAGTGTAGAAGTTCTTTCAGGGCCGACTTGTCATTGCATAGGCACAACCACAGTAAAGGAGTCGGGAGAGTGATGATACTGTAGATAACAGGCCACATGCTGAAGGGGCCACTTCTCTCCTGATGCTTGTATCAGTTTAAACAAAGCACTTTAACTGTGCTTCGATTTCACTGTAACAATTGTTTAGAACTTATTAGCTTGTTTTATGCCTGTGTTTTTTAGCTTGTTTTATTTATGTATTGTCTGGTGCAAACTCTTGGACTTTTGCACATGTATTCCAGTGTGGTTTTACTGCAAATGGCAAATGAAATGACTCTTAATCTGACTCCTCCCTGAGTGATCAATGGTTTATCACAAATCAAAGCATTCTGAAGTCACGTCCAACTGTTTCATACTATTTAGATTTTATACCATCTCCATTTAGCCATGATAATAATAATAATGTCTGTAATTGCCTCTTGTCCTGCAGGTGATGAAGACCTACCACATGTACCACACAGAGAGCATCAGCGCTGAGAGCAAACTGAAAGACGCAGAGAAACAGGAGGAAAAACAGTTCAGTAAATCTGCGGACCTGAACGTCAACCTGCTCCGGCACGAGGACCGGCAGCCGAGGCGCACCGTCCGCAAGATCGAGAAGATGAAGGAGAAGGTACAGGAGATACATTATTCCAGCTGTGGAGACTGGGCCTTACTGCAGTGCGTCCGCTCCTCTTCCTCAGCAGTTCACAGCCTTCTATAGGAGCCCTAGTGCATTTTTCATTCATTACACAAATGCAAATAGGTATTATTCGGCCGACCGTGTGTGAGATCAAATTAGGTGGTGTTGGGTATTGTTCATCACACATCGGTGCTTCAAACTTACGTTATCATTTGAACAGATGTCGGAAGTGCTGCAGATGTCGCAGATGGGTAGCACGATGGCTGAGTGGATAGCACTCTCGCCTCTCAGCAAGAAGGTCCTGGGTTCGAATCCCGGTTCGGAACAGGGCCTTTCTGAGTGGACTTTGCATGTTCTCTCCGTGTCTGCGTAGGTTTCCTCCGGGTGCTCCGGTTTACCCTACCACTAGAAATATGCTCACTAGGTATAATCCTCCAGCTCCGGTAGTCCTGACCAAGCCGAGCATCAACATCTGGACATGGGTTCCCGGGCGCTGTTACTACGGCAACCACTGCTCCTGACATAAGCCTTAGTGGCATCAGGATGGGTCAAATGCAGAGGACAAATTTCCCTATGGGGACAATAAAGTGCACATTTACATTTACAAATGTCACTGCAGGTGAAACTCGAGAAATTAGAATATTCCCTTTTTTATTTCTGCAATTCGCCAAAAACATTGATATAACTCATTGTATGCAAAGTGACATATGTCATGTCTGTCAAGATGGAATGAAGTGAAAGAGGACACAAAACAACAAGAATGCAAAATAAGACAATAAAATAAAAGTCCAGGTAAAAACAAATCAAAAATCCAAATGAAACGAAGGAACAGACAGGCACAGACAAGCAGAGACACAGGTAGAACACATTTTAGTTTTTCACAACTTTTATTAAAATTAGATAAATTGCACAGTTTTATGTTTAGTGCATGCTAAAACTGGTGAATATAACTGAAATACAACTAAACTAAATGCTAAATGTAAGTAAACAGTGTGTTGCTATGGTAACTAGGAGTGTGACGATATATTGATATGGCGATTTATCGTGATACTTTCTCATGCAATCTATTATTGATGATTTTTTTAAGAATAGTATCAATACTTAATATATGGCTACATTACGCATCTCGTAATAATCTGCTTTGACCTGAACATATTGTTCTATGACCCAGATATTGCCAAAGAAACACATCTCCATCTATCAGCTGACCTTGCAGCCAACAGACCATATGTGCTGTATTTGAATCCAGAGTTGAGAATTAGTTAATAACTTACACTTATAACTATTTCGTGTTTATTTGGATTGCTTTACTAAAAGATTTCAATAACAGTATATTTCTGACCAATGTATTAATAATCGTTATCGTGAGCTTTGTATCACGTATCGTATCGTGAGGTACCCTGAGATTCCCACCCCTAATGGTAACTAGTACTTGTTCTTTAATTGAGATTGCTCTGAACCAGTCTAGGACAGAAATAACTTCAGAAACATACTGAAAAACTACATTTAGATAAGGAAAAAGTCACAATTTTAAAAAGAACAAAAAAATGGTACATAGGAGTAAATACATGAAAAGCCGTCAAATTGACTGCTCTAGGAGTTCTGATGTTCAACATGATCTGCCTTCTCCCCAGAGACAAGCCAAGTACTCGGAGAACAAGCTGAAATGCACCAAAGCTCGCAACGACTACCTGCTCAACCTGGCGGCGACGAACGCGGTGGTGGCAAAATACTACATCCACGACGTGTCAGACATGATCGACGTGAGTGTTTGTTTTCGTCTCTCCTCCTGGGGCGCCATGTTGGTTTAAACTCTGCAGCTCTGTCACTCTCACACCATCTGCTGGGATCACAGCTTGTTATTTTACCAATCTGTTCCGCTGGCTACACCGAACATATTTGCGGTTCATATTAATTAAGACATCAGGGCGGCAAAGCGTGACACGGCTTCAAACGGTAGCAGGTTCCACGGGACGCTGGTTTCTGCTTATTGTCCATGGTTTTATTACGGGGCCCATTTGTCTGATCTGCAGTCTGTGGTGAAGTGAAAGCAGTCTCACACCCCCATGAGTCACAACTGAGGAAGCCGACTAATGACTCAGACGTGGGGGCTTGTGACAAAAAGCAAAACACAAGATTTTTAGTTGGACAATTGATATTTGTATTATTTTGGCCTTTCAACATCAAAGACAAATATTGGACTCACATTGTACTCATATTGCACCACAGTGACCAGGTGTAAAATCAGGTAATGCCTCTGAGCTTTTCTATATCCTGAAACAACAAGAATAGTATCCTTAAAGCTGGGGTACCTAACTTTCAAGCCACAAAATACAATCCATATTCCGTTGCCGTCAATGCAAGTTCACTCATTTTCACATGCATGCATTTTTGGATTTTCTCTTTCTGTGTGTTATTATTTGGTGCTTTATTGTTTAGTACTTTTAGTTTTAATATGACATTTCTTGTGTGGTTTTGTTTAGCGATATTTCCAGTTACATGTTGATTGACTGCCCCGCCCTGTGTCTCACCTGTGTCCCTGTGTCTCTCTTTGTCCCAGTCCTCACCATTGTTGCAAATTGTAGTGGTAAATTTTATATATTATAGCCAGCACAACTTCCCATTAGAAACTTGTCGCCAAGAGTATGATCATCAAATATGCTGATGACACCACCATCATCGGTCTCATCAGTAACAATGATGAATCCTCTTATAGAGCAGAGATACAAAATGTGGTTCAGTGGAGTCAAACTAACAACCTTCAGTTGAACGCATCGAAAACATGTGAACTGGTCTACGACTTCAGTCGCAATAGTTCTCATTTGCCTGTTGTAATCGACAACTCCCAGGTGCAGATCGTAGAGGAGTGCAAGTTTCTGGGTTTAAAGCCTAGCGTACATCGACAGAGAAACTGGGGACAACTAGTTGCAAGGCGGCTTTTGGCAACTGAGAGGAGATGGTGGGAGATGATCAGTTGCTGAAATCGGTCGATGTACGCGCTCTTATAACTGGAGATGATCAGTCGGTCTCCGGTTTCAGTCAGTTGCCCGTGTTCTACTTTTCGGCAACTAGTTGTCCTCGGTTTCGGAGATATGACCCGATGAGCGGGCTCCATGCGCCGCTCCGACAACGTGTGTGTATTGCGTGTATTGCGAGCCCGCAACAGTTTATGTCAGAAAACACACTGTAGTTGAGGCCAGTTGCTGTCGATATACGCGCTGTTATTCCCGAGACTGGTCTGCTACTGGGAGTTGCCCGTTTTCGTCAGATTGTCGATGTGTGCGGGGCAGCAACTCATATGCGACGGATATAATCAGTTGCCAGTCCGATGTACGCTAGGCTTAACTCTGTCTAACGACCTGAAATTAGTTAAAAACACTGACCGAGTCGTTAAGAAAGCTCGTCAGCGTCTCTACTTTCTGCGTAAACTTAGAGAATTTACCACTAACTCTAAGATTGTGCTTAACTTTTATTGCTGCACCATTGAGAGTTTACTTGTTGGTTCTGTGTCTGTGTGGTTTGGAAACATCACAGATAAAGAAAAGAGAGCTTTAAACAAGGTGCTCCGCTCTGCAAAGAGGACCGTGGGCTGTGAGCTTCCTGTTCTGGAGGTGCTTTATAAATCCAGACTTTTAAACAAAGCTCTTAGGATTGTCAATAACTCTTCTGGCCACCCTGGAAAAGCCATGTTCCAGCTTCTTCCCTCTGGCAGAAGATATCGCTCTCTGAGATGCAGGACATCTCGTTACGCTAAAAGTTTTTATCCACAAGCTGTTATCAGTGTGAACAGAGCACTTTAATGACTTGCACTTGTTTTGAAACTGTTTGAGTCGATCGATTTCACAGTGACATTTGTTTACTGTTTTATTTGTTTTATTTCTGTCTTTTAATGTTGTTTTATGTCTGTATTTGTCTGTGCACACTGGATACTTTTTGCCAATGTATTCCAATTTGGTGTTTTTACTGCAAATGGCAAATAAACAATCTGAATCTGTATATAATTAATGTTCACTTATCTTGTGTTGTGTGCTCCTCATTCCTACAACACTAAAATGTCCCTGCTGTGGAACGAATTAAGGATTTTAAGATACTACAGTAAGATAATTATTCATAACCTTTAGATGACAAAAGGCTTGTTTTATGTCCAGTGTTTTCAAAAGTCTGCCCTGGATGGTGTTCTGCTTCTATTTTGACTTCCTCTTCATCAAAGCAGAAGATAACATTCAAAGCGTCAAAACTAAAAAGACTGACTGTTTGGGATTTATACTCACTTCTCATTTTAATGCTACTAATGTTTTTGAATAACTTCCTGATTCACTAAATTTAGGAAACAGTATGGGACGTATAGGAACACCTTTTCTTATTCTCAACAACTGTATTTCTGCTCGCAAACTCATTCCCCCGGCTCCTCTCTGTACCGACAGGCCGTGCAGGAGTGGTGTGTGATCTTGGTGCAGCTTCAGATTTAAAATGCCAACAGAGGATTATTCATGATGAAAAATGTTGACCGGGGCGAGTCTTCTCTGAGTGTAAAGTGGCAGTAGCAGCACCTTTCAGACGCTTTGATGGACTGAGCGAGCGGAGGGATGCGTGTCATGTGAATCCGCCGCAGGATGAGGATTTGTGGATCCGAGTTCAGGCTTGTGCAGCAGGACACTGGAGGACATGGCACCTTTTAGAGAAAGAATTACTCATCCTTCTTACCAAACGCAGACACAGCCCTTTCTATAGTTATGGTTTAGTACAAGTTAACGGGGAATGCTAAATATTTTACCATTATGACATTTTTGTTGACTCTTGTTTATTATTTGTATTCAACTAATTTGGATAAATTTCAGTGTTGCAAGACAAGTTACAGAACAGTAGTGGCACACAGTAGACAATAAATGAATAATAACTAAACTAAAATAAAATACAATCTCTAATTCTAGCATAAAAATAAGCAGTGTTAAATCTCTATCTTTAGCATAATGAGGAAGGAAGTTTTCAAATCTACAACTTTATGATGACAAAGCAAGACTTAAGTACAAAAACCCCTGACTGTAGCATGATAAGGAATAAACAAGTATAACATGATTTATATTCTAGTGATTAGAGTGCAAGTAATATATAGTTATGTGTTTTCATCTGTACATGTTAGCAGCATGACGTAGGGGCCACATAAGAGCCTATTGGTCATGTTTGGTTTGGGAAATCAGAGCTCAGACTAAACCAAGTACATTACCAGTATAGAAAAAGTGTTGCAGATTTTTCATGAAACTAAAATCTTCCTGGAAATGTGAGACAGGCTTCTACTCTGACAATGTTCAAATCCAGATTAAAAACAGTTCTGTTTGGCCGTGCATACAACAAAAGTATTTTATCTTTATTCTTTATAATGTACTGTTTTGTATGATATCAATGCCTTGTGACACTGTCTATATCCTGACAATTAAACTTGTCCTGTCTAGCCTCTCCTTGTCAATTAAACTTTTTTGTATTGATAAACTTTAGGGAACACTAGTACTAATGCAGCATCCTTAAAGAGGCCGTGGCTGTCGCTTTAGTGGATCCCTCTCCTCTAACTTCCATCTTCCACTTAATGAGGCTATTTTATCCCGTGTGATAACGTGTAGTAATTATCCCCTGTGCCTTCGCCAACCTGTAATTCTCCAAACTAAGCTGCTATTTCGGAAACCCTAATTTGGGACTCAGTCTATTAAGCAGTTGACAGAAGGCATCCACCTCTCATTAGGTGGCACATCTGCACTTGAGTTCAGACTTTACTCATTGATCTCATTATTCTCTCTGTTCATCGGTCCTGTGTTGCAGTGCTGTGACCTTGGTTACCACGCCAGCCTGGCCAGGACCTTCAGAACATACCTCTCTGCAGAGTATAACCTGGAGACGTCCCGCCACGAGGGCCTGGATGTCATTGAGGGCGCGGTGGACAATCTGGACTCTCGCAGCGACAAGCATAAGATCATGGACATGCATAACCAGGTCTTCTGTCCACCAGTGCGCTTTGAGTACCTGCCACACATGGGGGACGAGGTGAGGGCCCCGGGGGACTCATTCACACCATCATATAATGCACAGGTCTGAGCTGGTCAGCAGAAGAGCATTTCACCAAACTAGCAAGGGTTTAGGCATTTTTAAAGGTGACATAATTAGACCTTTAGCCCCAAGTTTTATTTTGATTGATTAATGCAGATTTACGTTTGTTATGTGTTTTCTGGTATGACCATTATGTGTTTTCTCGTATGTACGTTATGTGATTTCAAATGAGGTAAAAAGATATGATTTTAATGCCTTGTGTGACTGTTTCTATCTGGTTTTGTTCAGTACTTTGAACTGCCTTGTGTATGAAATGTGCTATACAAAAAAAAATTGATGATAATATCAAGAATATCAATAATATCATAAAAAGAGTCTTCTGCTGCTGGACACCTGAATTTCTCCTATGGGGGATCAAAAAAGTATCTATCTACAGAATCTATCTATCTATATCAGCCAGATTGGAAGGATAAGGCTGTTAGCTGACACACATACATTAAAACTGTTTAGCTATTACGTTTTTTTGGTTTACAATACAACAATATATTATAAAAACTCTAATATTCTATGCATCACAAAGTTTATTTATATTTTAATTTCCCCTAAACATTAAAGAAGTAAATAAAGGCAACTTACTCTGGAGTCTATAGGTTATGGGTTGCTGCACATTAGTCATTAAAGTAAGTTTATGCATCTCTCTGCATCTTCTGGCATCTCCTCTTTATATTTTTAACATGTGTGTGTACAGGTGTGTCAGGTGAGCGCCCAGCAGCCGGTCCAGACCGAGCTCCTGATGCGATACCACCAGCTGCAGTCTCGTCTGACCACCTTAAAGATAGAAAATGAGGAGGTGAGTCATTTATCTCCTTTTGCCCCATTTTTACACATAACCTCCTACAACCCCTTCTCCCCAGTGTGCCGACAACCACACACACACAGACGCACACACACAAAACCCCAGGCCAAGTAGGAGGACCATGTCACCATCTGTCCTGTGTGCAATTACTCTGCACTGACCTGTGCATCTGGGAACAGTGGCTTTTCTATGGTATTGGGCAGAAAAAGTCGGTTCAGTCAGATGCCATGCATAATTACAAAATGGACCTATTCAATCTTAAAGAGACAGTATTTTAAAGTACATCTAACCTTTTCTATGTGTCCTCAGATTTTATGTTTCTATTCATTGACCTTTATTTAATCAGGAAAGTCCCGTTGAAATTTCAGAGTCTTTCTCAGGGGAGAAGAAAAAGAGAGGGGAGCTATTGTAAATGTTGTTAGTCATTTAGAGAATTGGAGCACTCAGAGGAAAACCTACACAGACCCACTCAGAATGGGGAAGGACAGCATATTTTCCACAAAGCATTTTTGACCTTTTTCTGCACCGTTTTAAATAGGGTCATTATAAAAAAACAAAAAACAAAAAACAATTAGCATGATTACTATTAATGTCGAGTCCAATCTAAAGCCTAGCGTACATCGGACTGGCAACTGATTATATCCGTCGCATATGAGTTGCTGCCCCGCACACATCGACAATCTGACGAAAACGGGCAACTCCCAGTAGCAGACCAGTCTCAGGAATAACAGCGCGTACATCGACAGCAACTGGCCTCAACTACAGTCTGTTTTCTGACATTAACTGTTGCGGGCTCGCAATACACGCAATACACACATGTTGTTGGAGCGCGCACATCGGGTCATATCTCCGAAACTGAGGACAACTAGTTGCCGAAAAGTAGAACACGAGCAACTGACTGAAACTGGAGATCGACTGTTTATCTCCAGTTGTAAGAGCGCGCACATCGACCGATTTCGGCAACTGATCATCTCCCACCATCTCCTCTCAGTTGCCAAAAGCCGCCTTGCAACTAGTTGTCCCCAGTTTCTCTGTCGATGTACGCTAGGCTTAAGAGCAGGCTGACTGATTCATGTTTTAGATTCACCAAATTTGTTATATATTGGTCTTGTACCTGTGACATTGTTAATCTATAGTCGCCCAAAAATGAAAGTATAACCAAATTAAATATCTGTTGAAAGGAAAACTGAAATTGGTTGGCAATAACAATTTCCCATAATAATATAACTTCTATAATCAAATCCAAAAATGTTTTCCGAAAAAAAAAGTGGTGCTATAGTTTTTGTTTGTGAAATTTGTCATGAAATCAGCCAAAACCAGCTACATTTCACCAACAAACTGATTTACCAAACTGCTATAACATTCATTTTCTTCCACTAAATACTATATCCCTAGGTTGTGTAATCGTTGTGTAGTTGTTGAAATAAATTTGCCTTTGCAATACATATTTCCCTTTTGTCCTTGAAAACCTCATCAGTTCCACCACAAGAGAAGCATTACCCGCTGCAGGTCTCGGTCTCGCAGCTTGTCAGGGTTGCCTGTTTGCCCGCAGGTGAGGAAGACCTTGGACGCCACGATGCAGACGATGCAGGATATGCTGACCGTGGAAGACTTTGATGTGTCAGATGCTTTCCAGCACAGCCGCTCCACTGAGTCCATCAAATCTGTCGCCTCAGAATCCTACATGAGCAAAGGCAACATGGCCAAGAGGAGGAGCAACCAGCAGGAGACGGAAATGTTCTACTTCTGTGTGAGTGGCATCTGTGCATATTTACCTTACAGTGAACTAAGTAACATGAATAAACACTGGTAGAATTGTTCATAAAAGCAAAATGCGTAGTGGGGTATCTATACGTGTCTAACAAACAATGGTTGTATTATATATGTAATAAAACCCATTTGATTAGTTCCTCGCTCTCAGTTCTATCACTATAATTGTCACATGTGTATATTTTGGCCTTTAGATTAGGTTTTTCAGTGAATAGTGCAAAAGAGAAGACCAGCCTCACTCGGCCAATCAATCTCAAAGCCCCAAATAGTGAAGTATATTGTAAAGTGTCCAAAATATCCAAAAACATTTCTAATAAGATGTTGTGGTCTGATTTATTCACAAACTTGTACTTTTACAAGAATCTTTCAGTTTGGATTAACAAAAGGTTTTTGTTTTTTTCTATGAGAGAAAAAAGGAAGGTACTCCAGCTTTAAATGTTTGTAGTCTTGGTTAAAATATGAATTATGTGTGGCCATTAGGGTTTCATTTTCAACGTTTGATTAATCTTGACCTATATCATCAGAAGGTGGAGTACGTAACGTTTTTTTTTGTAAAATTACATTGTTTTATCTGACAGAGAGAAAACAAATGCACAAAAAAGTGATGCAAACACTGTAATCAGAAACGTTTGAACAGAGCCTTGTGAGCTAATTAGAGCTGCCGTAGAGCTGACCGACTAGAGCTGCGCAAGACGCCTTTTAGCTTTCTTCCATCCAGCCGACATGTTTGCTACATTCAATTTTAGAGTTATGTATTCTAATTTTTCCTCAGAAAAGCAACTACATCCAAGACCAACAAACCCCAAATGCCACCAATACCTCTGTTCCAGTTCTGTTTTTATCAAGCATAACTGTAGATCTGTTGATAGCCTACTCATCATATGCAAACCCAAAGCAGTAAAAGTAATTATTTGTTCAAAATACTGAATATATTGGTCTTCATGCTCCTCTCATTCTCTTCTTTAAACTTAATCTATTCCCTCAAATATCCATGAATATATCCATGTTGATGATCACATTAGCCCTACCCTTAATTGATTGAGTTTCATTTTTTTTTCTTTTCTGTAGAAATTCAAAGAGTTTCTTAATGGCAGTAACCTCATCATTAAGCTGCAGGCGAAGCACGACATATTAAAGCAGGCCTTAGGTGAAGGTAAGAGCCTCCCTTTTTATCTCTTATTGTCAGACATGATTTGGTGCATTTTTATAGAGCCTGGGTCCGGTCCTGGTCCTGTAATTTAGCTTTAGTTACTCTCCGTACCTCTGTGAGACGACTGCCTTTGGGCTTGTGGAGCAGCCGGCTTTAACTAATGAGGAAATGTCAAAATGAACAATAAATGTTCAAATCACTATCATTTAGTCTTTAGTGTTTTCTTTTCTTTTGTGTACTGGGTATTTTGGCACAAATTCCAATATGTTATTTAATAACTGTTACATTTACCTTTGCAAGAGCATATTTTGGCCAAACAGTCTATGCCATTTTCTGACCAATTTCACAACAAAAGACGTCTGGATGCCAAGGTTATTGGGCTGGTGGTGGCTGAAATGGAGATTGTTGTGATGTCACCGCCATCCTAGACTCACATTAGCATAAATTACATTATCGGAATCATATTTTTATAGATAACTATGAGATGTGCACAGAATAAGTCCATATATTACCCACACTTCAGTATTGCTATTATACAAATGTTTCAGATCGGGACCATTTACTATGAAAATATAAAGTCTTGTTGTTTGAATTCTTTACGTCAATGAGGAAACCTTATAATGTGTTATTAATAGACACTAATTTATATTTAAACGGATTAAGGTTCCACTATAGCTGGTATCTATCATTTGGAGCTCAGCACATTGTTGACATACTAATCTCCTTATCTCCTTTGGTTAGCTCCATCGCTAGCCAGGGACCATATATTATCGCCGCAGGAGACCATTACTACTTCCAGGTTGGAGGAAATAAAATATGTTTTTTTCTCTCCTTGTCCTTCCCATGGGCCCCTCCGCCACCTCAGCCGTGAACAGTTTATGTCCAATCAATCAGAAAGACCCGCCCAGCTCGTGTCTGCAGCTGCTGCCCCATCAGGACTACACCTTAATAGAAAAGGCACCAGACAAAGACAGCTGAGGCACAGGGAACAGTATTAACAATGGATTTAATTATTCATATCGTCTGTGACTTTGTCTTTGGGGGACATTGTGTTCAGTTCGATACACCCACTTATTCACAATAGTTAAAAAATACTGCATTATTTGCGTTTGAATTATTTATTTAACCTTTATTTAACCAGGAAAGTCTCATTGAGATCAAGATCCTCAAAATCAAAAAGCACCGTGGCAAATTAGCACCACTAATTACTGTATTACTGTAAATATATGCAGACAGTCAATAACTTCATAGATACTGGCCTTGTGAGAAAGTTTTAAGTAAGGCGCTGCTAAAATTGATTTTCTTGTTTCCCGGGTTCAATTCCACCTCTGCATAGATTTTCTCCAGGTGCTCCGGTTTCCCCTACCCCAAAAACATGTACAATAGGCAATATTATAAAAAAAGATTATACTCACTTATGAAAACTTAATTTGAGGGACAATAAATTGCTTCTGTAAATTATTGTGATAAACAATAATATTTATTGTGTGACAGACTCAAGTCCAATAAAGCCGGTTACTTCCATTAGACTAATTTCCAATGTTTTAACTTCATAAAAAATAGAAATAAAATGGTTAATGAAGTCATATTAGACATTTTAAGCCACGTTATTGTTTTACCAATAATTAAACCAAATACAACGCGATTGAATTTCTTTTTCTTACTTGAGCCCCAAAAATATATGTTTTTATCCACGTTTATGAGGATGTAGTAACTAGCGTGACGGGCCCATAGGTAAGACCCAACACCTTTCCCCATAGTCTCTGTTCTTTGTTTTGTAATGGAGCTGCCCAGGGCATATGGCACACCAGGTACCACCCGTGTTGAATTATTCAGCTGATCAATCAGAGTGGCTCATTAGCTCTTTGCTTTCACAGCCAAAATAGTCTTTATGTGTGTTTTTGCTTGAGGGTGCATGACAGGATCACAGCTCAGACTGATGTGGGCCGCAGCTGCATTTATTAACACAAAACTATCATTATGCTTCTGAAAAAACCAAAGGGGAGGTGCTTTGACTCCTGCCATGTGACACAGTGAATTAACTTGTTTCTAATTAGGCAAGATCTATTGGCCAATGTAGATCAGCAGTGTTGTATTTTGTTCTTCTATTAATTGAGAGAAAAATGCTGTCACAAGAGTAGTAAGTAGTCAGAGCGCTCAAGAAATATTAAAGTACACAGAAAGAATACAATATAACTGTAGCTGCAATGCTTCTTCACTATAGCTGTAAATACTTCATAAGAGCTATCTATCTATTTATCTATTGTAGTGTAAATTATATCCACATCTAATAATAAGTACATAAAGTGACATTCAGTGGACATTCGGAAATTGCAGGATTTGTTATTTACAGAAGAGATGACATTGCTATATACCTTTTAAACCTGTCAAAAATGGGCTGTAGGTACCAACATTTTTATTTACTTTTTTCACTTTTAGCTATGTTGATGCCTAAATATTCCTCCATTAGATAGATGGTGAATAAATACTGAACAATAAAAGTGTGCTGACATGACACTCCAGTCGGACTAATTTAAAGGCTGCACGCTCAGAGATAGACAGGCTATCGCTCACTGCAGTGATGTCTGGGAAATGTAGTGTTATTTCTTCAGCTGAATGCTCCCGAGACCCTGTCCCATCTGCCACAATGATGTGTTGAGAATAGTCTAGCCTTTGCTCTTCATGTCCCTTGTCGGACAAACAAAAGAAAAACCTGCCAAGATGATGTGCAGCCATTGTGGCCCCTGTGTATCTGACCCTTTTCCATTCCAGAGGTCAGCCAGAGTCGCACAAACCAAAAAGACTTTCATTCTACACAGGTCTCAAATATGCCTCTAGATCAATACATATGGCTTCATTTTAGATTAATAGCCTATGCAAGGGATTACCAGCCTATACAAGGGGAATGATCGCAATAGCAACAACATAATGGGTAGTAAAAGTGAATTGTATAGATTGTTGTGGTGGAGGGTCTGCCACCTGTCGGTTATCTGTGTGGAGTGAGAGGACCAATGCCCACAATAATTGTAAAGCACTTGGTGACTCTGGTCTGTGAAAGGCACGGTATAGATAAAGAGGATTTACTGATGTCATGATGTTATTTCTTTGCCTGTAATAGTAGTTTATTCAAGTATGGGGGTTTTATTGTTCAAAATATACATAACAGACCATTTAACTATAGACTGTGCTGTGGAATGTGTAATTTCTGTCATCTATATTATATATGCGAAATTCTGAAATTAGAACCTCATTCAAAAGCAAATGTATTTCTATAATTCAATTTAAAAGGTTAAACCAATATAATATTGTCTCATTACACTCAAAGCGACATATTTTGATGATTATGGCTTATATTCCATTTTCAACATATATGATTTTTTGTATGTATTTGTTCACAATCTTCGAGCCAATTATCAACATCATAACAAAAATGCATTATATATCTCACTTGGCCTGTAATGAGTCTGTCATATTTTAGTGTCATTGTAAGCTGAAAAACAGAACTAAATGGACTTTTGAACAATATGGTAATTTTCTGTATAGATGTATTTGGTTTTCTTATTTATAATAGGGTTAGGCCAAACATTTGTTCTTCTGTCTTTTAGTATTAAAGCCATATAAATTACATTGTTCTTTACCCACTAAATTATAACTTTTCACTGTATAAAGTTAGTTCTTACTTCTGATACTACTGGGTAATTACCAAATAATTTTAACAAAGGTGTGTTTGTGCGTCTGTTTGTGTGTGAGTTTGCGTGTTTCTGTGAGTTTGTGTGTGAGTGTGCGTGTTTGTGCGGCAAGGTAGCTGAGTGGATAGCACTCTCGCCTCTCAGCAAGAAGGTCCTGGGTTCGAATCCCGGTCGGACCAGGGCCTTTCTGAGTGGAGTTTGCATGTTCTCCACGTGTCCGCGTAGGTTTCCTCCGGTTTCTCCTACCACTAAAAATATGCACAATAGATCTGGCATACGCCTCCTGTACTGGTGACCCTGCTCCTATCTCTGTGTGGAGTGAGAGACAAATGCCCAAAAAAAATAACAATTGTAAACCACTTTGAGACTCAGATCTGCAGTGAAAAGGTGGTATATAAATAAAGATTACGACTATGTGCTTCTGTGTACATGTGCGTGCATAAACGTACATTACCTATATTCTAAACGACCAAATATGTGTAATTGTGTGGATTTTGACTTTCTTCCACTTCTCAGACTAATAATGCACGTATAATCTCCCCGTTGGTGTTTCTCAGTTGAAAGTGCCCCAGTCCCTCAGGAGACGCTCGCAGCTCACTCCGCAGTGGCTCTGTGGTGCTGGGCTACATGGTGTTTGCTCGATTCATCCTCTGGTCAATACTCATGTTGTGCTCATCAAAGGCCTCAGTCTGGCTGCACACTGGAGCCTGTATAATGTGAACCCTAAAGATCACACTAATGCTAACATCCCCCTCTGTGCTTTTATCTGCAGGGGAAAGGGCTGAGTGTGGGACCACGAGGTAAGTCCACACATTATTCTTTATGTTTTCACTTAAATTAGATTACTCGAATAGCAATGCTTTTATAGACACTCCAAATGTATACACCAAGTGATGTTGTCATCCTTAGAGTATTTCTCAAATATTATGTGCATGCTATTTCTCAAATATTATGTACAATCCCTTCTTTAGCACTAGGACTCCTAGAGCAGTCAATTTGACGGATTTTAGTCTAATTACTCGACTTGTGTATCTTTGTGGTCTTCATAACGTTGTGACTTTTTATGTCTCTTTGTAGTTTATGGTTTATGTTATTATTTCTATGAAACAATTTTTTTATTTTTTAAATGTCAGGAGTTCTCGAGCCGTCATTTTGACTGCTCCATTTATCTGACATTTTAATGTATTAATTTTCCGGCACTTGGCAGCCAACATTCTGTGGAAGTTATAGCCCCTTTTCTCCAAGGTGCTGGACTCGGCTTGGTCCATCAGAGAGATGCCAGTGCTAGTTACCATGCCAACACACTGTTAACTTGCAGCAGTTAGCATTTAGCCTCTCAACAAACTGCTTTTACCGTATTTCAGCCTAATTTACATTTTAGCTCTTATTAGAAATAAAAATAATAATAATAAGCTAACTTTTTGGAGGTTTTCAGAATACCATTGATTTGAATGGAGACAGTCGAAATGACTGCTCTGGAAGTTCTGGTAGTTTCAGAATTCTGGGAGTCCTAGTGTTAACCTGAGAGGAGTAGAGTCAAGTATGGACTAAGAATGTGTTGTTTATCATAAAGACGTAATGAATCGCTAAAGACTAGTTCTGTGTTACCCGTCACCTTTTGTACGTTTAGCAGAAGTTACTGTACATTTCTATTTTTAAAACATAATGACATTATTTCCACTTGCATGAAACTTGCATGCAAATTAGGACTACTTCATCCATTTTACAGACTGTACTGCTTTTTTATTTCCTTTGTGCATCATTCCTCAGACCCCCCAGTCTTCCCCCTAAGCCACAGAAAATGCGGAAGACTAGACCTCGCTCCTTTTATAGCCATAAGCTGTTTAACGGTGACATGGAGACGTTCATCCAGGTATCCGGTGGTTGTGCCCATTCTTTCTCTTGCTCCTCTGGGTCTTCTGTCTGCTCCTGCGTCCCTGCAAAGCGCCTTCATTTAACCTCTAATTCTACTCCCAGTGCCAATCAGTTGTCTGTTGAATCCTCCCTGAATCCCCTGCTCCATCAGGAAATGCTCTAAACGTTGTGTCTCTCAAAACCTTCCTTTTGGCCAGTCCTTGCTCGTTGCCTTCTAACCTTTAGGGGTCACTGTGTCACCTGATCTGTGCTAATGTGTGTGTGCTTGAATGCCTGTCTTCCTCTGCTTCTCTGTGCTTTGTGCTCCCTCTGCTGCAGAGGAAGGAGGAATGCCCGCGCTCGCATCCAGGTACCACTTGTGTTGGCAGAAACAAAAGCAGCTATTTCTGGGTTTACACTGGGTTTTAAAAAGTTAGTGGATAAAAAGTGTTGCATTTAGCTGAAATTAAGACCCATAATGAAGACATACTATGCTAAACTATTTTGAGCTGTAATCTTGTCACAGCTTTGTTCCCTCATCAAAAACCGACCTGCAGTTGGTTTTTGATCCATCCATGCTCATAGCAGGAGGTTCTGGTGCCCGTTCTGTCTTATAGCTTCTGCATCAGTCCTGTAAAAATAAGAGGCCATCGTACCACTATGACATCACGCTCAGAGCAGTCTCCTGCCTTTTAAAACAAAAGTATTGTCCCATTTTTTTGGAGCAATTTCTCAAGTGAACATATGTAAGTAGGTATATATCTATGTATGTATGTAGAAAGACACCAGGAACTAAGCTAAATAATGAAATGTAGGAACAAAGGGTGGGATCACGTAAGTCTTCTTCTTCCCACTCCTTTTTGAGCCAAAATATATAAATGTTATACAGATCCTCCCTGTACCTCTTTGTTTTGTTTTGTCCTTCATTTTTTTGCCCATATGTGGGTACAGAGCCTTCTGTATTGTGCAGAATGTTATAATTTTGTTTGGCTCAAAATAAAGTCTTTAATCAAAAAATTCTTTGTAAAAAAAGACATAACGTGGCATTCTTTATAATTGCTTGTCAATGTTTGTATCAAAAAATGATCAACTCCTTCCTCTGGTGGTCGCATAGTGAGTTTGATAGCCTTTTTAGCTGCATATTTATCAAATTGCATCTATTATCTCACATTCTAAAACATAAAAAAACAAAGACATTTGTATCTTACACTGCAAAAAAGTAATACGATATGAGTTGATAATGGCTTGAATCAAGTTTGTTTTTATTTGATAATTCATCCATTTAGTCTTGTTTCAAAAACTATTGCTTCATTTTCTCATTACAAGGGAGACATTTGTTTCATCTTTTTAAAACACAATAATTATGCTTGTCCCAAATCTTGTCTTAAGGCAGTCAGAATGTAATGAAATTAAGCTAAAGTTCAGCAAATTTTGACTTTTGTATCAATTTATTCAGAGTATTGAAAGATGAAAATAATATTTCTTCTTTAAAATAAATGCAGGACCAACTATGGCATTAATCAGTCAACACATTTGCACTTTATGAGCATAACGCTTTCAGATTATTTCCTATTTGCAGATACTACACACTGTACTCTCCCCCCATTGACTCCTCACACACTCTTATCTGCTTAATAACTGCACCCTTCAACTGGTTTATTTACTGCCCTATTGTCTTAGTAATGTAATAGGCCCACATTACAGTATTTCAATCTTATGCTTTCCTTGCAGGACTCAGGTCAACCCATCCCACTGGTTGTCGAGAGCTGTATCCGCTACATCAATCTTTATGGTAAGCTATCCTCAATGTCTAACTCCTGAACGAATAGGGCAGGAAGTGACTGCCTCTCTATTGCAGATCGCTCAGGTCCCATAAGGAGTGACAGGTGCTATTGGAGAGGGCCATATATTTCCACAAATAGCTGCTAGCTCCTCTCAATCCGACCCTTGGTGCTCAGGTGTCATGGCTTTTGACAAGCTCACAATAGATTTCGCACATTGCTTTTTTACTTCGCAAACTCTCATTAGTTGTTGTTTTGGTCAGTGCCCCTTCCTTCTAGTCTACCTCCACATCTGTGCCCTTGTTGTAGCCTCAAGGCCTTTTCCCCCTGGATCTGGAGCAAATGAAACTCCAGAAAACTGATTAGGTCGAGGCTAACTCAAACCATATGTTGAAGCCACACGAGGGGCCTCTCCTGGAAAAATACGCATCCTTCTTTATGACGAGATTACATTTCCTGCACCGACTCGTGTGTTTCCAAATAGCTGAGCATCAGATTATTCTCGCTGTTGTTGTTAAAATCCTATGCATATTTTTTTACTTTTGCTTTAGGTTTGCAGCAACAAGGCATATTCCGTGTACCAGGGTCGCAGGTCGAGGTCAATGACATAAAAAACTCATTTGAGAGAGGTGAGTATGGATGTGCTTGATGCTTTGATATGTTTCCCTGTAGCAGGGGATTTTTAACCAGCTGAAACATTTGCTATCATTCCCACAATATTGGATTTGACTTGATATATGCAGAGATAACTCTTTGTTCACATTTCCAGGAGATGGATGATCACATTTCCTCACAGCTCACACATAATGAGCCCTTACTTTCAACACACTTTGAGCCAATCTTTATGGCCTCTGTACGCGTATTTTTGGCTTCTGTCACATCTTCAATTTAACTTTGACAGAAAAGTGAAAAAAGAGAACCAAAGTTACTTGCCAATTATCTATCCCAAATGGTCAATTGGTGACTGATATCTTGCTAATGACATTAGACAGATGTGTTCTGATTCATTTTAATTTTTGTTGGAACAAAAATAATCTAGTATTTATTGGAAAAAGTCAGTTACCCCAGCTTTAATTTGTTGAGAATAGTTCCAAAACTAATTTAGAAAAATACGCACACACATTTTTGTGGTAGCTTCAGAGTACATATAGATATTTTTAGTAAATCGATCAATCAAACAATCACTTTAGTGGTCCATCTACATCAGACAAATACAATACAACAACCTCCCTAATTTTCTGAAAGACTCAAGACAAGACAAGGTCAACATTCTCAAACATTTTCTTTTTCTTTTTAATTTAAGATCATTTTAATATACAGTTCCCAATGTAGGTTTACATTTTAGCAGTTTTCAATGTGCCAAAACTAAGTAGTGGTGTTTGTATTAGTTTAATTGAGACAAGATTTGTTTTGCTTTCAAAGGGGAGGATCCACTGATTGATGACCAAAATGAACACGACATAAACTCGGTGGCAGGAGTGTTGAAACTGTATTTTCGAGGTTTGGAGAATCCACTCTTTCCCAAGGAGCGCTTTTTGGACTTCATCTCCACCATCAGTAAGTAGCTACCCACAAAATGTTGTAGTAATCATCAAATACAGTCTCACCAGAGAGTCGTAAGGCACGCAGAGGAGCACATGGAAGCAATCTCAACACTGGAGCCCTGGACTTGAGACTTTGCAGACTACATGTGAGGAGAAGTGTGCAGGCCGACCACCGACAGGCCTCTCTGTTGTTTGTGATCTTTGCGTACTGACAATCTCTTTAGGAGGCCTATAGGCACAATGTGGCTCCAATTAACCAGTCAAAGTTTATAGACCCCTCTTTTATTTTATTGGACCTTCGTGTTACTTTTGAAATTATGAAAACAAATCTTTGGAATGAAGCCAGAGACTCATGAGAGGAAAGTGTTAGCTGCATGAGTGGCATCTATCCCACTAACTATGAGCATTGTCCACAGGATTATGGCTTTTGAGTTGGATGTACTTAGACATGAGCTGCTCTACAGAAAGTAAGAATATATGGTGGCCAAAACTGCTTGCCTTGAGTCGAAACGCAAACTGTGGCTGTGTCTTTCGGCAAGACCCGTTATACCTAGTACTGTCATTGGAGATCGGCAGCCCCAGGGTGGCTGTGGCTACAGTAGTGCCTTACAACCACCATTTATGGAGTGAATGAATAATGCAATTTAAGTCGTCTTTGAGTGTCCAATTCCTATTAGTGAACAATCATTACATGCCATTTTCAAAAGTAACACTAAGCCCATGTACTGTGCTGCCAATGCCATTTAACAAACCCTGAACACTGTTCGCTTTTGCAAAAGACTTTTTGATGATCAAAAATGTTTTTTTCCCCATGATGTAGAATTATTGTTTTTATGCTTCTGTCTGTTTTTAATTTTTCAGAGCTGGATTCTGGAGTGGAAAGAGCCCATCACATCCAACAGATTATTGTTACTCTTCCTCACACCATGATTATTGTCATGAGATACCTGTTTGCCTTCCTCAACCAGTAAGACCTTAAAACAAAGTTTTTTCGACCTAAAATTGACAGGTCAATATTATTTCTTAATAAATTTCTACAAATGTGTTATCAAATGTATTATTTGGCTACCACATCAACAGGATTACAGACAATTACCTTGTAAAATACAGTACTTGCTGAAGCACCCCGTTATGTTTTCCACATTTAGGCTGCACTGCAATGTAAGCCACAGGTTTTCTTTTTGTAATGTAACATTTTCAAAATAAATCTGCTTCCCACCTTCACTAAAACTTGGTGGCGTCAAAATCTAACAAAATGAATGATGATAATAAAAAAACCTGAGATGCTCCAACAAAATAAAAATTGGCCGGATGACTATTTAGGCCCCAGGTTCAAAAAAGTGTCGTCTTATTGTCCAACAAGTTAAGTAAATGTCATTAGACCAAAACTAACATGTTCTATTGTGCAGAAAACTTATTTAACTTCCATTGGATCTTTTTACCAAAATCAATAATAAAAACTCATTACTTTTCAACATTGTACACAAAACTCATGCTTTTGTTTTGTGTGCAGTTTGTCTCAATACAGTGACGAAAACATGATGGATCCATATAATTTGGCGATTTGCTTCGGCCCCACACTGATGCCAATCCCGGACGAACAAGACCCCGTCGCCTGTCAGGCCCACGTCAACGAAGTCATCAAGACCATCATCATCCACCACGAGCTCATCTTCCCCAGTCACCGCGAGCTGGACGGACCGCTGTATGAGAAGTGCATGACAGGGGGCGAGGAATACTGGTGAGTTTGATGCTGCGTTTCAAATACCAGCTACTGTCTTTTAGAACTGACACAGATAATCGTGACATGATGCGGTGGTATTTTGTGGTGGTAGGGCAGCCTATTTCATCCTGCTAAACTAAAAACAAAAACTAAAAGATCTGAAATAGGACAGGTATAAATGGGTTGAAACACAGACAAAAGACAAGTTCCATTGGGTTATTGACATTGACTACATTAACACAGCATGAGAAAACATTGACACTGTTTAGACTCAAAGCTTGGAACAGTAATTTTAACTGTTTTTTTGTATTTGTGTCTTTAGGTGGCTTTGTATTGTCTTTTATATGGACCTTGAGTGAGGAATCAAGATTTATATTATCATTATTATTATTATTATACAGGCTATGCATCTGATCTACTTCGAGAATTTGATTTTCGCGTTTCACGCACGCTCAACTGCAGCAACACAATTCATTTAAATTCTCTAGTGGTCTTAAAAGCACCATGTTTCCTGCTGTTTCCTCATTCAACCAAAACAAAACAATGAAACAAATGCGTCGAAGGGCTGTACTTACTACACTGACGGAAAGGAGTGAGTTTTTCTTCCTATTGCAATACATGGCTTTACCCTGTGCTTTTAAATGCGCCTGCTGGCCATGTCTCAGTAGTATCAGGTGTAGGTTGTTACATGCTGTATAAGTGGACTGGGTTTCCACATCTCAATTAGAATCGGAGGCGAGTGATCTGGCTTTCACCCGTGCTTTGTGAACGGTGTGACAGACTAATTCATTCATACACACACTCTACACAAGCACAAGAGGGTCACAGTCACAGTTCATTTAGCAGCAGTTTAAAATATGAAAAAAAACAACAAAAAAACCACTACAGTTTCAAAATACACCCACACCACTTCAGCCTGTCAGGAGAGGTGTTTTTCCCATAAACACAGCAAAATAAAGTTACTTTTGATATGTTAATATTGTTGCTTCTCTTTTGCAGTGACAGTCCTCATAGTGAACCTGGGGCCATTGATGAGGCTGACAATGGCACTGAGCCGCACACCAGTGACGAAGGTCAGTCACAGTCGCTATTGATAAGTACCATGTTCTCCTACAAATGAACTCTTTAGGCGCCAGCGTTTTTGTTGTTGTTGAGAAATGGATTGTGAAATAGACAACACGTTAACTTAAAGAGCGACTAAACACCAAATCAACTTTTTTTAACTCATAAACTGCATAAGTATGTTAATTGTAGTGCTGTCTACATATCCTTTTTAATAGTTTTGTTCAAATTAGATAAAATATCACTTCTGAGCCAAAAAATGTTGTGAGGTGCCCTCTCAACCTTTTTGGTGGTACTACATTTGAATTTGGTTCTGGCCTCTCCATTGACTCTGAAGTTCTCCATGACATCAGTTGTTTTGTGTGACGTCAGTCTGTCAGAGCCAGTGATATGAACCCATTCAACTCTCACACACGCCCCAGCTGCAGTTTGGAGTATTCTGGCGCCATCTAGTGGATTAAAATTAAATTACATGAGTCATTCTGAGATTATTGAGTGTGATTAGGTTCAGGTGTGTAGCTTTACAATTATCTTAGTGTGTAAACAAGGGTGGAATGAGACTTTCTGGTCTGTAAACTATTGCTTTAAGCAGCAATGACAACTGTCTGTTTTTTTTTTTGTGACAAGTGAGCTGTCAATCACAGCCCAGACCACGCCCAACTCTAAGCCCCCCTTCTTGTCCCTTGGTCCTCCAGGCAACACCCTTTTTAGAGAACATTTTCAAATCTTCATGTGGGCGGAGTAAGGCTGGGCACAGGTGTTTAGTCGCTCTTTAATAACAGATTGTGGACTACTGTAATTGATAATGTAGGGCATGTGTATGTCCACACTCAGACCTATGGGCCAATTGCGGCCGTCTGTGCTATTTAATGTGGCCCTCTAATGCTAAAACATGCCATTGAGGCACTTCGACAATGTCATCCAACCAACTTCAGCTCCACCAATACAGACCCTCTAGAATCCGTTGACTTTATTGTCACAAAATACCAAATACAATGCAGCCATGGTGTGAATCAATAAAGACCGCTTTTAAATTCTCAAATCCAGTTTTTAAATCCATGTCGTCGGCCCCAGGTCAAGTCTGATGAACTAAAGTGGCCCTCTTGCTAAAAATGTTGTACACCCCATGATGTAGGGAGATGTTTGTGGGTAGCAAAGTCGCTGTATAGAAAGTGTCCTGGATGTAGGAGCTTCTGTAGCAATTCTACTATGTTGGCTTCTAAAGGGTTAACCGACATAAATTTGGACACAGAAGATATTTTCCCATACAATCTTGTGACACTATGGAGATCATTCTGCTTTTGTGATGGATAATTTGTGTATTCTGTGAGTATAGTACAGTGACATAAATAAGTGTTGTTACTTCAGATGTGTAGCTACAATTGCAACAACTGCACTTAGAAAGAAACACAGAGCATGCAGAGTCAAAAACCTGTACATAGAAGTAAATGGCCTCTGCCCTCAGTCCATTTTGCTACTGATGTTTTTTTCAGTTTCTATCTGTAGGGCATCAATGTAAACAGTGCTGGCATGTGGGGCTTGTTCTTTGATCTGTCTTCCTGTGTGTGCGTGTGTGTGTGTGTTTGCATGTATGTGTGTGTGTGTCTTTTCTCTTTAGTCGCAAACCCCCCCTCTTTTTCTAACGCTCTTTGTTCATTGTTAGTCAGCAGATCTCCTGGGACTTTCGTTTCTTTTGTGCCGACATTTCCACAATTCCCTCTTGAGCCTTGAACGCACCAGCAAAGGCCAAAACACGGATGATACATGAAGTCAGATGTCATTGTTTCAGTCTGTTAAATTGACAGATGTTATGCTCCTCTGTTGAGTGCAGTCAAATTGGTTAAATTAAAGACAATATCACCACACCTTTCTATCATTAATCCAGTTAATCAAGTATAAAAACAAAGAGAGCTACTGCCAGGTGAAATGAACATGCTTCATACAAAGGTGAAAGATTTCTTTCTGCCTCGAGCTTATCTTTATAGTTTGTTTTTATCAGGATAAATCTTCAGACAGGTCACGTTTCATCAGGGCTTTCGTATATAAGGCAACAGTACCTCCTGCTGGAAGAGACACGTTATAAACTTGTGCTTGTTTACTCTAATTTTATTCTTTTCCCCCTTACTGATTCATTTGGTTCAATTAGTGAAATAGAATGTAAAATAGATAAAAAAATGACAATTCCTGGAATTCAAAGATGGTATGAGATATTCCATGGATGTCTCTGTTTTGCTTGGAATATTTCAGAAAGTTATACTGTACAACTACATACAAAACAGATATCAACTGTTTTAAAAACTAGACACTGATTATTTTTACTATCAATTATTAGTGTTGACATTGCAAACTGACAAAAGATCCAGGTCAACAAAAACACAAAATGAAATAATCAGCAACACTCACTTTTCTGCTTTAAAATGATATAAATCTATTTAGAACTATTTACATACTAACATTGCGTAAGAAAGTAATATTATGTGAGTTGTAGCATGTTGTAAGATGCAGTCCAAGCAAAGAAATGTCAAGGTGGAAGATGGTCCAGAAAAAGAACATAACGGACTTAAGGTTCTGTTTAGGTCTAAATTTTACCATAATCCTGACATGCTTTAGTTTCACCACTTGCAGTTAAATGTCCTGTATGTCTGTTTATTGTTGTTGTGTTTGTGACAAAGCGGTTGTTTCATTGCAGGAAAAAAATTTCCTTTCGCATTTGCAGTGTGACAATAAAAGCATTATCTCATGTTATCTTCTCTTCCCTGTGTGTCTTTAGAAGTGGAGCAGATTGAGGCTATTGCTAAGTTTGACTATGTGGGCCGCAGTCCAAGGGAGCTGTCCTTCAAAAAGGGAGCATCTCTGCTGCTGTACCAGCGCGCCTCTGAGGACTGGTGGGAGGGGCGCCACAACGGGGTGGACGGCCTCATCCCACACCAGTACATCGTGGTGCAGGATCTGTGAGTTAAGACACACAGTTTACATACATTTTACAGTGTTACATGCAGTTTACAGTGCTTTTGTGCCCCCAGAGATGACGCCTTTTCTGATAACCTGAGCCAGAAAGCGGATAGTGAAGCGAGCAGTGGGCCGTTATTAGACGACAAAGGGTCTTGTAAAAACGACGAGCCGTCTCAGAGTGAACAAGCTCATGACTATAACTACGGAGGATACATGGGAAGGTAAATCAAGAGCACAATCCAAAACTGAATGATTCATAATTAAAATGTGGTCTTATATGATAATGTCATTACGATACATTTTCCATGACCCCCAAAGTCCGGGAAATGTTAAACAGTTACATTTTAACTTGACAAAAGTAAATACCTAACTAAACCACAATTACTCATGGTTACTCAGGGTACTTTTTCAGATTTGTTGTTGTATTTTGTAGTACATATGACACATTTAAAAGTATGATGTTTAGATTATTTCAGGCTTATCAACAATCAAAGCAAAGAACAAAAAAAGAAATTGGACAATAGACCAATAAGAAAAAAAGTGTTCCAAACACTGATCTTCATCCTTGCATTGAAGACCACTGTTTGGTCAAAACAGATCAGAGTTTCAATTTAATTCAAAGTGCCTCGGAGCTATACTCCCACCTCACATTTTAGTAAGGGTGACTGTTTTTTATTAGTGTGTCCTAACCCTTCATAAGCACTTGTATTATTGAACACATCTACATTTTAACAAGACTTGGTGTAGGGCGCTTACTCTCTCCTCTTTCTCTAAAATATAACCATTTAGCTAGAATTTGATTGGTTGGAGACAAAGCATGAGACAAAAAGTTACTCTCAGATTTTACATTAATCAATCAATAAACTTAAAGAAAATTTATATAGCGCTTTTCCAACAGCAATCAATCATAAACTCAAATCACTCAAGGCACATCATAAATAATCATAATGCATATAAAGAGGGAAGATACAGTTCTTCAGTTATATTTACAGCTAAACAAAACTGTTTTCCACCTATATTTGAACTTGCATTGTCTGCTTTTCTCTGTCAGAGTCCGTTTGCGGTCTGACGGGGCTGCAATCCCCCGCCACCGCAGTGGGACGGACACTCAGAGCCCCACCAGAGGCACCGACACGCCGCCTCGAGCTGCGGCTTGTCCCAGCAGCCCACACAAGCTCCCCATCAGTAAGAGCCGACTGGATAGCCCTGAGAAGAGGCGTCTGGCCACATTCGGCAGCTCAGGCAACGTGAATTTCCCCGAGAGAAAGGGCTACCCAGAGGGACACCCCCTCAGGCCGGTCCCAGGAGCCACACGCCACAGCAGCCTTGGAGATCACAAGTCACTGGAGACAGAGGCACTGGCTGAGGTTAGAGGAACCAGTATGTCATGTTAAGGAAAGGGAATTGTCCATTTTTCTTTGACTAAACTGTTCTTCAAAGAACTGTTTTAATGTCAACTGCACAACACGATTTTAATTACCTAAGAGTATTATTCTAAACATGCGTTTATACAGTATGCAGACTCATGTTTCTACAGATCAAACTCGAAACCTTACACTTGTGGCGTCACCCACTCCTCTCCTATAGTTTATGAACAAGGCCATACTGTGGACCTGCAGTTGTTCCAAGAGCAGTTTTTGATGTGACTGCCTTATTTCTAAAGATCTAAAATGTTTATTTTTCCTCAATCCAAATATTATTTTCCTTCTACTTTATCCTAGTCCTTCTACCTTGTCGTGGGCATAGATCATGAATTAGGAGTGCACTACCCAAAGGCTGACATCACCTGCAGTGTTTGCTGAATGCAGGACAAGCCATTTTGAACATTTGGTTATCTGGAGCCAATTTTTACAAAGACAATATCAACAAACTGTAAACTGTGTGTGTGCTTTCTTGCAGGATATTGAGAAAACCATGACTACTGCACTGCATGAGCTACGTGAGCTGGAGCGGAAGAATACGGTGAAGCAGGCTCCGGATGTGGTCCTGGACACTCTGGAGCCTCTGAAAAACCCAGGTGTGAACTCTGAGCCCGGCAGCCCCCTCCACACCATCATGATCCGGGACCCTGATGCAGCCATGAGACGCAGCAGCTCCTCCACCTCTGAGATGATGACCACGTTCAAACCGGCCCTCTCAGCTCGCCTGGCCGGGTCACAGCTCCGTCCCCCACCTATGAGACCGCTTCGCCCAGCTCCAACGGCCTCCCATCGCTCCAGTAGCTCCAGCTCGTCCGGCATGGGCAGTCCCGCCATCACTCCCACTGAAAAAATGTTCCCTGTGAACAGCCCTTCAGCTTGCTCCAATATTAGTGATGATGTAATGGATAAGCCTGGCTCCATGTAGCGATAGTCCTGTGGTCCGAGCAGTTACTGTTTACTGACTAATTCAGGACACACTGTGTAATCGTGACAATGTGTTGCTGAAAAAAAAAAATGCAAGATGTGAATTGTTGAAAATGTCTATTTAAAAACTCCAGAGCCCCCACTGACCTGAGTCCACCCTGCCCAAGCCAAACCCAAGTTTGAGTCATTTTCGGACACACATATTTCATTTTACATTTAATTTCCAAACCCCAATAAAAACAACATCCACTCTCACTCCACCAACTAACCACCCAATACCCAAAATACAATACCACATACAACCCCACCCCCCCCACCCCCCACCCCCCCTCTCAACCAACAACCAAACAACCACCCACAACCTCACTCAAATCCCATAAACCCCCAAAACCCCCCAACCACACACAACCCAAAAACCACACCCACCACCCAAACCAAAACACCCCCCCCCCACCCACCCCCCACCCCCCCAACACCCCAACCACCCCCACACCCACCCCCCCAAAAACAAACCCCCACCCACCCCCTCAACACCCCAACCCCCCACCCACACCCCCACACACCAAAACCCCCCCCCCCAAACACCACCAAAAACCCACCCAACACCCACCCCCCAAACACCCCCCCACCCCACCCCCACACCCCCCCCCACCCCCACCCCCCACCCACCCCACACCCACCCCACCCCACCCCCCCCCACCACCCCCCCACCCACACCCCCACCACCCACACAACCAACACCCCACCACCCCACCACCAACCACCCCCACACCACCACCCCACACCCCACCCCCACACCCACACACCCACAACCACCACCCCAACACACCCCACCCCACCCACACCCCCCCCACCACCCCACCACCCACACCCCCACCCACCCCAACACCCCCCCACCCCACCCAACCCCACACCCACCCCACCCACACCCCCACCCAACACCCACCCACCCCCCACCCACCAACCCACCCCCACCCCCACCCCCACACCCCACCCCCCCACACCCCCACCACCCCCCACCCCCACACCCCCACCCCAACACCACCCCACCCCACCCCACCACACCACCCCCCCACCCCACACACCCACACCCCCCCCACCCCACCCCACCCACCCCACCCCCCACCCCACCCCACCCCCCCACCCCCACCACCCCACCCCCCCACCACACCACCCACCACCCCCACACACCCCACCCACCCCCCACCCCCCCACCCCCAACCACCCCCCCCACCCACCCCCCCACACCACCCCAACCCCCCCCACACACCAACCCCCACCCCACCCACAACCCCCCACCCCCCACACCCACCCCACCAACCACCACACCCCACCACACCCACCCACCCCCCCCCACCCCACACCCACCCCCCCCACCAACCACCCACCCCCCACACCCCCCCACCCACCCACCCCACACCACCACCCCCCCACACCCCCAACCCCCACCCACCCCCCACCACCACCCCCCACCCCCACCCCCCACCCCACACCACCACCCACACCCCCCCCCCCCCACCACCCACCCACCCCCACCACCCCCACCCCAACCACACCCCCCACCCCCACCCACCACCCCCACCAACCCCACCCCACCACCCCCCACACCCACACCCCACCCAACCCCACCAACACCACCACCCCCCCACCCCCCACCCACACCCCCACCCCACAACAACCCACCACACAACACCACAAACCCACCCCCACCCACCACACACCCACACCACACCCACCCCACACACCCCACCCACACCCCCCACCACAACACCCACCCCACCACCACCCCCCCACCCCCACCACCCCCAACACACCCACCCCAACACCCAACCAACCACCCCCACCCCCACCCCACCAACCCCACCCCACAACCCACCACCCACCCCCCCAACCCCACACCACCCCACACCCACCCACCACCCCCACACCACAACCCCCCACCCCACCCAACACCACCCACACCCCACCCCCCACCCCACCACCACACCACACCCCACCCCACCCCCCAACCACCACACCCCCACCACCACCCCACCCAACCACCCCCACCACCCACCCCCCACAACCACCCCCCCACCCACACCCACCCACCCACCCCCCACACCACCCACACACCACACACCCAACACCCCAACCACCACCAAACCCCACCCACACCCAAACACACCCCACCAACCCCCACCAACCCCACCCCCACAACCCACACCCCACCCCCACCCACCAACACCCCACCCACCCACCCCAACCCACCCACACAACACCACCCCAACCACCCCCAACCCACCCAACAAACACCACCCCCACACCCCAACCACCAACACCACCACAACCAACCACACCCCACACAACCCCACCCCCACAACACCCCACCCACAACACCCAACCACACCACACCACAAACCCCACCCCCCACCAACCAACCAACCCCCACCCACCCCCCAACCACCCACACCCACCAACCCACCACACCCCACCCCCCCAAACCACCAAAACCCCCCACCACCACCCCCACAACAACCCACCACCCAACAACCCCCACACCCACCAACCCCAAACCACATCAACATACTCCCCCCCCTCACACACAAACTACCCACATCCATCATATACACCCCACACCAATACACATTCCCCCCCCACATACAAATAACAACCACCAAAAATTATAATATAACACTACATAAAACTAAACTCCCTACCAAAACTTATAATATCATCACATCACATACAACAACACAAACACCAAACACAATAACATATCAATTACATAATGATAAACAAAACCAAACAACACATTCGTATATATAATCCATCAAATACCATACCTACATAATAACAAAACTACATCCCACTATAATAAATACAAACATAACAATGACCATCCATACACTTATAAACATCACATACATCCTAATCACAAAACCACGAATACAGCATAAAAAAACCACACAATTATAATATAACCACACAAACATTATAATATTATACACTACATACATTATAAATATAACAACATCATATATATAAATACATACACATATACTAAAAAAATACACTTCTCAGATTCTCCCACTATACTAATTTATCCTATGTGAAGATCACACGCCTAGATATCAGTAAAACTACATTAGATCTCAAGTATATACAGTATACCATACTTTACAGAGTATCTAATTCTATTGTGAAATATGATTTTATATATTCCACATGTTATGTTATATTTGATAAATGCTAATGTATAATATAAAATATGTGAAGAGTCTATCCCCAGTAAGATCAAACGACCTACAAAAAACAATCCACAAGAGTCAATGTATAACAATAATTACCATGTCCCAAATATAACATAACAAAAATCAACGTAATAAAAATTACACCCAGGCCGCACACTATAGTATCCATCATTATCTGTGTGTAGTCACTTATTTTGATGATATGTATAATAATTATATTAGCACACCAGATATTTACTCCTTTATATATAGAGATAAAAAAGATAGAATAGATAACAGCGTCTCGCCGCGTCCATATTCAGAATACATGTGGTGTTTTCTTTATAAAGTGTTAAAAACAAACAATATTAAAACATATTCATAACTATATTTTTAGGGATGTTTTAACCTGTTTTTTTCAATGTTTATACAGTCTATGGTTTTTACATGAGGCACAAGATTCACAATATACTTTGTATTGGTTGGTAAATCTCTTTTGTTCATATCCATGGCCACATGATGGCAGTAGTAACCTTGGAAACCATCTGTAATGAAAAGGATGAGCTACTTCTGCATACATTAGGTTGCATGATCAAAGGGCTGCAAATGTCACACACAATCACATTTACCACAAACATGAATGAAGGATGTCTTGCTTCTGCCGGCCCACTGTTATCAGGGCTGTACCGTAATAACCATATTTTTGTAGAACCATGGTAATCACTGTTATCAGTGATTACCATAGGAACCATACCATAGGAACTGGAGTGAGACACCAGCTCTGTGGTAAATAGAAGACATAGCAGCTATTTCTATTATTACTGTAGTCGAGTCACTCAGAGAGTTTGTACCTAACATAAATAATACAGTTTCAGTTTCATACATGAAGGCAAAGAAATCATTTGTGTTTCAAACAGCCTCTGTAAGGGATTACTTATGGAAGGTGTTTTGGGGGATGTCTCAGACGGGAATGTAAACTAAACATGCACTTTCCTTTAATCGCATTAGATATTCTGTTACATTTCTGAGTCTGAATATACAACAGGGGTTTTCAAACTTTATTTTAACTAAATATACACTTTTATACACTTCCCGGGGGACTTGGGACTTTGACCACTTCATTATTCTAATTCTATTAAAGCTTTAGGACAAACTGAAGTGCTCATTATTGAACTGTTCCAAGTGCCAGTAATTTGTCCCACAGTCCACACGCAGTCTCTTTTTTCCCTTTTAAGAACATTTCCTCTAAAAAAAAAAAAAAAAGAGCAAAAAGGAACAATCAAACCTTTTAGAGGCTTTTTCTATCATGACTATAAGACTGCAATTACATGAGATTTCCTAACTCAGACAGAAAGTGTCTAAATCTCTAAATACAGATTTTATAAATGTGTCTAGTATTTATTGAGCCTTTCTTATTGTTTAAGAGTTGTTCGTAAAGTCTCACACTGCAAATGTTTATAAAAATGTAGCAAAAGTTAAACATGACATTTTCATTAATTAGAACAAAAACAATAAAAACAAATGTTGACACTGTTCAACTCCTCTTGGCCCAGAAGGAAAGGTCCTTTAATAATCTTTGATTGTCTTTAACATATAAAATTAAGATTAAGATTAAGAGATCCTTTATTTGTCCCACAGTGGGGAAATTTCAGTGTTGCATCACCAGATATAACAGTAGGAATGAAGAGTACACAACAAAAGATAAGTGAACAATAACTCTAAACTAAAATAAAATCCAATCTCTAACTTCAGCATAATGAAAAATCAAGAATTAAGAATAAAATCTCTGACTCCAGCACATGAAAGAAGCAAATGTAAAAAAAGAAGTCGTACAAGGAAAGTCCGCTCGCACAACTCATGTACTTTCTCCTGAGGTGACTGTATTAATGATAATAATAATAATGATAATAATAATAATAATAATAATAATAATAATAATAATAATACAATTTATTTTTACTGCACTTTACTCAAGGAATTCAAGGAAACCTTAAAGTACTATGAATGGTGATTAAAAGATAAATTAATAGAAAAACAAATATGGGACTAAACCAGGTTGCAGTAATCAATACAATGTACAAATACAAATAAATACAATTTTACCAATTACTGAAGAATAACCTTGAATCAAAAATTTGAGTGTGAGTGTCAACTTCCCACGCTCAGTCCTTCACTCCACTCCAGTGAACCACTCCAGTCCTCCTCACACTCACAAGGCCTTGTCATACAATATTGATCACAGCACTTAATACAAGCAGAGGACAAATGTCTCCAGGGAAATAAAGTAACCTTGCGTAAAAACGAAATCACCATGAAAAATATTCTAAACTGACAGATACTCCAAATAGATTATATTCTCTAGAGTGTTGCCTATGTGTTTGTATGTTATGTCTGTACTGTATGTATGTTTTTTGTGTGACACAGATCTGTAAAAGGTGTTGTAAATAAACTTTTCTTCAATGTCGATTTCGATTTGTAAAACTTTAGAAAAGAAATAAAACAAACAAAAAACATTGTTGCTGGGTGAAAGTCAAGTCAAGTCTATTGAGATTCAAGCCTGCTTTCTATCTTATGGAGAGATAGAAAGCATGAGACAAACATGCTTTCTCTCTAACATACTGAGGACTGATTAGCCGAGGGCTGGATGGCTGGTTCTCTGAGGGCTGAGTACCAGCTGAGTAGAAGATAAGATAAGATAGACTTTATTGATCTCACAATGAAGAAACGTGCGTGTCACATTTGGCGAGTGAGCTAAGCAAGGGCTGGTACTCAATTTTCAGCAAAAAAAGATTTGACAGAGGCCATGCATGTGAAACTGTTTTGAGAGCGAGGAACTAGTTTCAAGGATTTTGTTTCACTATTATTTTTGTGGTTTCAAAATGAGGTCCTCCAGCTCTGAAGACCCAGTCATTGACACGTTCTAACGATGAGAACGGACGTATAAAATGTCATGAAAGTTGTCTCCTGTGGCCCTATTTATTCTGGATTCATTACACTAATTGGAGATGAGAATAAACTCTTCATTAATACATTTATGTTTAATTTTCTGCCGAACAACATTATCATATCTTGCTGTTGCCATGCTCACCTTGTGTGCCATTATGCTATGAATTTAGATAATGAGCAGGAGGCAATGGCTTCCACACAAACCCCCCAAGACAAGGGCTACAGCAGGATGTAATCTCTCATTAACATGGACAGGAGACATGGACAAACAAACACAAATACTACTCCATGCATTTTAACCACATGCCATTATGTGTTAAAATGATTTGTGAACATTTAAGCCTTTAAAGCTTTATCAGAAAATAAATGTGAAAAAGGCAAAAGGTGAAAACAAGGAAAAATAATAAGAGAAAGAACAGTACTAAAATCAATGAAATCAATAAACAATATAAAAGATATGAGAGAAATGCCTGGATTCTGTATAAAAAGTGACCTTGGCAGATTCAGAAGCCAAAAGGGTAAACAATTCTTTTTCCCACATCAAAAATGTCAACCAATGCACTGCTAGCATACATAAAAGTATAATATTGACTTAATATTGGCTTATTGACGATTGACTATTCTTTCCGTTGAATAGTTTTAATAATGTCTTGTTCATGTTCTCAGCAGGTGACTCCTACCTGTCCAAGCATATTCAAGCATTGCCCGGCCCCAATGCTTGAGAAATCCCAGACCTGTAAACAAAAGCACTCAGGAGTTTCATTGTCATCCTCTCACCACAAAATCTGCTTTAAGTTTTAAAGTTTTTTTATTCAGTATCAGATTTGTTATTTTTTAACCAATATGTCAGAGTTTGTGGTGCTACAGTTACAGCCTCTTTCATATGACATTTCCTGCTGTTGGGTAACATTTCCACATGTTTCTTTGATGGGGAGAGACGCCCTGGCCGACTCATACACAGAATACATGATGAGCTCTGGTCACAGTCAGAGCCAGCCTCCTCCCTGTGCATGGAGCAGCACATAGGAACTACATTATGAGACACATACTCGCTTTCTCATACAAACACAATCTCAGCAAACGAGGATTATTCAGACTGCACTAAAGAGGCAAACACTACTGTGTAACAATTTCACCAACACAGATCAGAGAATCAACAGTTAAAACACATGAAGAATATAAAGCACACACAGAAGAAAATGTCCATACATGTTGTAGAATGCTAAAGTGTCCTGATCATCACCAATCCTTTCTGTTGGACACTAACTGTCCAACAAGACCCTCCTGCATTGACAAGGAAAAACTCTTAAAAAACCCAGATCATGAAATAGAATTATGGACTTGTCCTCTCAACGGTCATTTCTGCTCAGACTGCTGCCCCGTGATCCGGCAATGGATAAAGTGGAAGAAGTCCTTCCCATTGGATACCATGTCCAGACTAAGACTGGTCCTCTGTGATCCACCTTGCTACAGCTGGATGCTCAAGTCTGAGTCTGTCTCTGCCTGTGGCTCCCACACTGTAAAACCACCGGATTTTCTGCTTATGAACAAGATGAGGTCGGATTCTGTTGAACTGATAAATAATTGTATTTCCAGCTCCCACTTGAGGTCCTGTTGGTGATGTCGTGCGGTCTCATTCGGGGCTTGGATATACTGACAGACTATGTCTGTATTCTCCAAGTTGGTTCAGGCGACCTGCTGGAAGTGAATACATTAAATGATGATACCTTCGAGAAACAACAGTGTTTGGATGTGATAAAATAAAATTATATTTCAATTGATCACATTGATCATTTTTATTATTATTAAATCAAACTCAAGCTCCATTTTTTGGAATGTTTTTCATTTAAAAATGACAAATGAAACATTTCAGGAACTGCTTTTTTTCCTTTCCAGATTGAAAACGACACCTGCCATTTGGATTTTTAACATTCAGATCTGGTATTGTTGACAGTCTAGACTGAGCTGATGTGAAGTAGCATTTATAACAAATATTACTTTTCGGATGGCAGTAATCCCTCTTCTACGGCTGTGCAAGTAAAGACAAAAACCTTCATAAATCTCTAATGTTGAAAAGCGTATTTGGATTCAAAGCAGAAGGTGAGGCCTCATGTTTCTGCTTTCCTGGGTTGATCCTTTCCTCTTTCTCTCAGCCTCCTCAGAACTCTCTCGGCAGGATTTCATTACACTACAGAAGTGTCAACAAGAGAATAATCAAATCATTAACACGTCAAAAATGCGACTGTAAAACACATCCAAATAATTTGACAACAATTTGCTTCAATTCAAGTCCGTCAAATTACAGTCATGCTGTGTTATTTTAACAGCCTTAGACCCCCACCCATACACACACACACACACACGCGCGCGTGCACGCACACACACACACACAGGGTGGATAGCTCGCGTCCTCTGGGCCTCATTATAGCCATATTCAAGAAAAGATAGGAACTCATGATTATAAAGCCACAAAGCAAAACAAAGTCCACACATCGAAAGACTGGTGCTTTTGGGATTGTGTGTGCAGCTTGAAATTCGTCTTGGAACTTGACCATGGCTCCAAAGCATGCACTGCGCATCCTTCAGACTCTGTATGCATACAACATGTGCGTCACAGGGATTTGTTGCAGAAGAAAGCTTTATGCCCGCCCCTCCGAATGTTTTCAGCACTGAGGCCCTCATCATCAATCCAAATATCTCTCTGAACCCCCAGAGTGCAAGTTTATCTCACTATTATGAAGAAAATGTGATGTTGTATAAATATGGATTAATTCATGCTTTGGTTGATGCATTGGAGCATCAAACAAAGCATGCTCTGTGGCGCTATGATGATGTCAGAGTGGAGCGTCAAAAGCTGTGATTTTACACACAGTTGAAACTGGATTAATCAATGACAGTTAGCATTGGAATTTTCCCCTAGTAATTTTCACCAACTGACATGGTGATTGATTTAGATTACAGTTATTTCTGCAACTATTGTGCCCTCCAGACTCCTCTCTGCAAAGCACTGCTATATGTGCAAATGTAAAGAAATGTCACAACAAAATAAATTTCCTTCAAGCTGTAAGTTTCTTTGGTATCTAATATCAACCTCCTGAAAGAAATACATGATCTATCTTTGTTACAGTCATGAAATCTGATTTGGAGGAAGCCCAGGTGTTTCCCCTCATAACTCGTGTGTGCAGATTCATCACTTGAATTTTGAGATGTTTCTATTGTTGGTAATCTAATCTAAATGTTAATATCATCCACAGCTTTTGTACTGTAGTGTATTTTCTGGGTTTGAATTTGTTCCAGTAAAGTTTTTAATGCATAGCTATTGGTTCTTTGTCCATTGCTTTGTCCGTTTCTTTGACGTTGCAAGAGAAGGATATTTATGATGGAACACACACTTGGACCAACCAATACAGTATGTTGATCTGACATTACATTTTTCAAGGATGTTGTTTTCTTTGCAAAAACAAATGATATTCTAACAGTGCAATATTTGAGATAATTAGAATGGAGACACTGAAGGTGCGGTCAAAGAAAATCTGTGACTGAGGATTGGAACATTTTACAACATAAGGCTTTTATGTATATGCATTTTTGGACCTTGTATCATTAATTTACTCCAATTATGGTGGAGGCGAGCTAAAGTAGCCACAGATGCTATGGGCTAGAAAACCAGAACAAAATAACATGATGTAAAGATATTTGAACACAAAAATGCCTTGAAAAAACATTTAATTAGGTTTTAGTTACAACATCAGGAGTAGCGGTGGAACAGGATTCATGCACAGTTGTAATGGATTGCTTGGCTGGCACTCAATGTGTCATGTCATTTTGCTAATGTGAATATAATTATTGCTATTGAGTGTAGTTAGAAGAGCCACCAGTGATCGCTTCAGCAGCACAGATGTTTCAAATAGTAGGCGTTGCATTTTTTGTTCGACTTTTCCCTCTACTCATGCAACTTTTAGTATAGGTAAACACAATTTTGACCTTTAATTACCTGACACATTTTCCACTTTATGTGAAGGTAGTCTACTAATACGTTGTGTTTATGTGACATCCCATAGTCGCACTTGTGGTTGGGTAAATAAGAGAGAGTTTAGAATTGCCCTGTTTTTTTAATTGCTGTTTGCACTGTAACACAAGAGAAACGGCAACATTGCAAATTCTCACCTGAGCACACTTTTCAGTAAGACCTCACAAGTCCCCTAAATTGCCTCTACCCTTGATCCATGCCTCTTCCTGCCTGCATTAGTCACGTTAGAATCTCCTGTCTAAAAAGTGCAAATTCTTGTCCTTTAAAAGAATATAAAAATATGAAGTCATGTTTATATTATTATTGATGATAATGATAACAATAACAATAATAATATAGCATTGATTTTATGTAGCGCTTATAGACACTCAAAGACGCTTCACATGTAAGATTCGGAAAATATTAATGATCTCAGAATGGAGAAATTAATGTCATTATCCTTTCACTCCATACACGGTGGTGATAAAATTCTACTGTAGCCACAGCTGCCTTGGGGCACACTGACAGAAGTGAGGCAACCAGTATGTAGGCAACCAGTATGTACATGCACACACCAGACTCATTCTTGGCAATGTGGGTGAAGTGTCTAGCGTTTAGGACACAACCTCAGTCGGGCACTTTACAGCTTTGGAGCCGAAGAGGCTCCACTGTGGCACATGGTGTTCCCAGAGGTTTCCCATTGCAGTATTAACAGCTTCAGAGGTCTGATGGGCTCTGGCTTTTGCATGCATTTATGGCCACAGCGTTATTATTACACGTTAATGTTAATGTGTTAATCATGGGACCCTACAACCACATACTGAAGAGCCTATAGCTTAGGGCAGTTGAAAATACTGGTAACTATTGTAAGTCAAAAGTCAAACTGCCCTCCACCTGAATTAGAATTCCAGGACATAAATGCAACCTATGAGCTAAAATTTCCCCGTTAAAATGTGTGGAAGCTGTGTTGTGATATCAGAATTTTTTCAGTTTTATCCAGCCATGCAAGCCTGGAACTTATAATTCCTAGTATCAGTTTTGAAAATTGGCCACAAAAACACAGACAAAGCTGAAATCTGGGCATGCAGGCTCTGACCCACCAATCGTCACTTTGAATGTTTCCATTAGCTCCAAAAACATACTCTTTTCAACTTTCTTTCAAAAAAATCAGCTCAGAACATGCTGTTCTATGCTGCAGCTTACATCACAACAAGATGAATTGACCTTGATATTTACAGTGTCATCATGTGCCCCAGCGAGTGGACTTTACCTGTGTGCGATGTTCAAGACACTGGTCACCAAAGGGGTTAACAGGTTCACAGACACTGCCAAATGCCATATATCACAAAAGACAGGACATACACATCGTTATCTCGCAGGCACATTATTGCGCGCCTGGTGCTCGAGTGACCATTAATAGACAGGAATACTGAATCACAATTTATGATTTGGACAAACCTCAAATTGTGCATTAGCCATATCCATGTAATTGTAAGACAGGAATGATTCACATGAAGGCTCACAAGTCACAATATATTGAAAGTCATTTTTTTAACATCATTTGAATACATAACTACTGCTTGCACTATGTTTGTCAATTATTAGCAAGCAGTGAGCACTAGCATCCAGGCACAAAGAGGCAGGACTGAAGCAGAGGGCTTGTCATATGTTTTATGCATGTTGCAGACTTCATTGGTTGAATGCTGTGATAATCTCATTGATATTCAGCTTTTTCAATCACAAAACATGTGATAATCATAATAATTATGAGCACAACTATCAGAAAAACATGTCCAAATTGTGTCCATCCAAGACCCTGTTTATTTATTTTTTTATAATAATATAATAATAATAATTATGTATGTATATCAATTCGTTTATATGTATATATATATATATATATATATATATATATATATATATATATATATATATATATATATATATATATATATATATATATATATATATATATATATATATATATATATATATATATATATATATATATATATATATATATATATATAAACAAATTGATAAAATATCTAATAATATAAACACACTAAATACATTTTAAAAACAGATTTTCGTGTTGGCGGAAATACGTCATACTACGACACGATCACATCCTGTTTACTTTTCGCGGGTTGAATTAACACTACTCTCTTTAATGCAGTTTTACATTATACTTAGTTCTTCTCGGAAGTATCAGTCATGTCGATTCATTTAGAAACCGACTTGCCGCCGATCTGGGCTCCTCTCAAAGTAAGTAACAGTAAACAGCTAACGTTAGCTCAGAACAGAATTAATGCAATATCTGATATCGCCAAATTTATTTGCTACCGACACGAATCATCCTTAACGTTTAATGTAGTAATGCTTCTACCTAAACCAAACTATCCCACATGTTGACCGAACCATTAAGATAAGATAAACTTAATTGATTTCACGATGGATAAATGTAGCTAGTTAAATGTTACATTTTGCATAACTAGATAACATAACGGTTAGAATCACTAACCGTTTTGTAAAAAGACAAGAAATGTGAAGACATGTAACTAATAAATATGTAGCTCAGTTGAGGTAAGCTAGGTACCAACAGCCGAATGTAACCACTGTTATTATCTGTCACCTATCCTCCAGGACAGTTTAATCAATGTTGACATTTCCCGTGTCATAAAGCCACTAGTCTGTTGTGTTGTCTTCTGAGATAACTGATTGGTGGAAATAATTATTTTCAAAATAAAATGTGATGACCTTTTCTAATATGACCCCAGCATAACTTTATTTTATCGTTTTTGCAGAATCTTGAGACTCTGTTGCGATGTCCCATTTGCTTCGAATTCTTTGATATCACAATGATGACAAAATGTTCTCACAACTGTAAGTAATGTAAATATCACATGACTTTATTTATCCCAATAACAAGACTTACAACTATATATGTATCTACTTTCAGTTTGTTCACTGTGCATCAGGAAATATCTTTCTTATAAATTGCTATGTCCAGTTTGCAACATGGTGAGTGAATTTCAAACTCGAAACCTAACTAACTCATACATCATCCTCACCCTATCTCAAAGGGAGCACCCAGCACCCTGTGTAGGGAAGTTCCTACATTTTGACCGCTGGTATCTGCTATCTCGTACTTTCGGTCATTACCCAAAGCTCGTGACCATAGGCGAGGGTGGGAATGAGATTGATTGTTAAATTGACCACATTGCTGCAAAGATCAGTCTAATCTATTCTCATCCATCGATACCTCACTCATGAACAAAACCCCTGAATACTAGAACTCCTCCACTTGAGGAAAGACCCCTCCACCCACATTCAAGGCCATAGTGCTCGACTGCTTTGGATTTAGAGGTGCTGCTTCACACTCTGCTACAAGCCGTCCCAGTGCATGTTGGAGGTGCTGGTTAGTTGGAGCCAACAGGTCAACATCATCTGCAACCAGCAGAGGTGTTATCTTGTGGTTTCCTAACTGGACTCCCTATCAGCCCCTGGCTACACCTAGAAATTCTGTCCATTAAAAACACTGAACATAACCCATGACAAAGTACAGCCTTGGCGGAGGCCAGCAAGCCCCTGGAACACGTCTGACTTACTGCCAGCGATACAAACGCGGCAGCTCTGACTCTGGTCATGTGCCTCATCATGGCTATTACTGAGCTACTTTACTTCTACTCTAATGCGATTCACCAAGAATCAGAAAAGGCTGCTAACCACCAGTATTTCATTCTCAACTTACTTTACATATTAACTTTTGTCCATTTTCAGGAAACAATGGAACTGGATTTGAGGAACAACCGGGTATTAGATGATTTGGTCTCAAGCTTTCAAGTGGCAAGGTATTTTTAAAGATTTAAAAAAAAAAATATTATTCTTTAAGGGAATAATGCTATGTGACATTTACCTATAAGCCCCAAATATGTATTCTTTCTTTATAATTGGTCATGGTATTATTGGCTTAGAAAGTAAAGGGCAGAGTTTTGCTTTTCCTTTTCTGGAGGCTTACAGTGATTATGAACAAACCAACATTGGTCATAGAGTTTTATTGTATCTACTTAAAGGATTTTCACAAATAAAATGGGACTTAGGTTTTTATCAGTGTGGGACATGCATGTGCCTTAAATGTTGTGCCTTAACATCCCGAGGGCTAATATTTTTTATCAATGTGGATGATGAAGACATATGACCCATACCAACTGCTCCAGAAATTTCCTGTTATCTGAATTTTCCCAGGATTGTGCTTAATGCAAATGGCACAAACAGTGAATACATACTAATCATATTGTTAAGGATTGTCTCCTTGAGTAGTTTGTCTGTGATTGATTGCAGTAGGCTAATGCGAGCTTCATGAGGGTCACAGCAGCCCTCGGGGGTTGAGTGTATAATGAAAGCTTTAATGCCCTAAGCTAAAGTAAGCTATTCTAATCCTTAACACTATTGGTCTTTTGTCTTTTATCAGTTTGTTTTCTGTACTTTTACTGACCGAGCATGTTGGTTCTTTCTTTTGGGGAAAAAAATAAGTGGATCAGATTGACACAAGATGCCCAGGCAGTTGTAAAAAGAGGGTGTTGCCTTGACAATGTGAATTAGGGTGGTCTAGTTTCTGATAGAGCACGAAAAAAGAGGTCTCCAATGATTTGGTTTTCTGTTGTCTTAGCAGCAAATCCTGACTCCATGTCCTTACATGCCCAGGTTTCACCTGTATTTTTGCTTGCGGTTCTACATCAAATTTGTTAAAAACGTAATGGGCTGTTTGAGATAATGCGGTTTAATCGCAATGATTTTTAGGGCTGGTTGTAATAGCAATTTTACTCCAAATGAAAAAGTCATTTCAAGCCAATTCATTCTTTTGCCATTCTAGCTCATCTTATCTAGATGGCTGTGTGTGTATGCGTAAATGGACCCGATAGTGGAGCCTGGCCTGTAAACCCTCATACAGCTTCCCTTCATCAAACTGCTCAATATTATCTTTGCTCAGAAAAGGTCTGCCCTCAAACTGTGGACTTGGCGATTGCCATCACTGTTGTGTTGCAGAGACTTGCAGAGCCGCTTGTACCTCCAGTCTTTAATTTCCTGTTGTCTAGCATTGTATTGAGTGTCTGGAAAATAGGATGTCATGATTGGGCTCTCTGAAAAGGTTTGCTGTCATCTTGAAATAGCCTTGTATTTGTAATAGTTCGGTTTGTCACTTCACCAAGAAAGCTATGCATCCAAAGCAGCTTCCATGTTGGATAATGTGGTGGCAGGTGTTTGAAAGTTGGCAGTGTTTGAATGTTTAAAGTTACAATGGACCTCTATTTATTAACATTGTATTGCAGAGATTGGTGTCTACTTTTGGTGTATTGTGAAAATACACTAGCGGGAGTTTGGGATTCATGAAGTGTTGTGTACCCAGGTACACCAGGCATGACTTTAATCACTGTGGTGGATGAAAAACTGCAACTAAATATGATGTTCATGTATTCATCAATAATTGCTCAAGAGTTGGGACTAGGTTGTCCTTTCCCATTTAAAAAAAGATAAATATTAGGTTACTAAAGGTTACTATGGATGTTTTTGTATTCACTCTTCAAAGTTTGCTCTAAAATCAGCCTGCTTCCCAATGTGATAGCACTTAAAATATTATGTTATGTCACAGCACGTTTCATGTTGTTGTTTTAATTGACCTAAAGAAGTTTCTGTCTTTAACAATAAAACATATTTAATATGGTATGTAATTTCACTAGACCCAACCTGGAAGGAGGTATAGAAACAATTTGGATGCAGCTCATGTGCAGCGCCAGTTCTCCACAAAAACTCATGGAGCAAAGAATTTACACCTGTAAATCAGGTTTTTTATCAGTTAGTATCAGTATTACACATAATGACAATGGAAAACAACTTTACAGCCTACACATGTCACTTGCTAAAACAACAGACATTGTGCGCGGAGGTAACTGCTGCTGTCTTCCACAGACTGTTCAATTCAGACACAAAAATATTGCAAGTGAACTTTTGAGGCACCGGGCTTTGGACTTTAGGACAATTCATATGGACCACGCTCTGTCTGGATATGACTTTACTTTCTTTGTGTTTGAGTCGTGTGCATGTGGTGGGGGGCTGTCTGTAATTTTATACACAGTTTGTATATGCGGGATCCATGAAAATAAAATCCTGGTTTACCAGGGGGTTGAATGGGTCTGTTGGCAGTGTCTAAAGTGAAGTGAATGATTATTGCCAATCAATATACATATTGTGAATGTTATGATTTGTTTTTATTTACCTATAGTTTTACATCCGTCACTATGGCAGCTGCAGCAGAGGTGTTGTCACTGATGTGTCTGTGGGTCAGTGTACACTGACATAATGACAGTTACAGGCAAACAAGAGTTTGTTAGTAGAGCCATGTCTCCCCGCCCCCTGGAGGGGTGAAATGGTCGGGCTAAAAATCCTCTAGTTTGAAGCTAGCTGCTACGACAGGAAGAGTGCCATTTCCATCATAAATCACACTTGTCCATAGCACACACGGGGGCCGCTCTAATGAGGCCAAAGCACAAACATAATGTTTAAAAATGGAAAGATGAGCAGTATACACCTCGTTGGTTCCATTTTATTGCAACCTAATGGCCCTGTTGCAGTTTGTTTAACATTCACTTTTCCAAAAGTGTCACCTTTGGGAGGAGAGGCAATGGTATAATTGAGCAAGTACATCTTAATAAAACTGAATATTCCAACTTTGTTGTCTGAATTCCTATTTTCTCTTGAGTGAATTATTTGTCATCTGAAAAAGACCACTACATCAGTATTCAAAATACACATCTTTGAATTGTATTCATGCATTCATGGCTACTTTTTTATTTCTACTAGACAGCAGTTGTCAAAAGCCAAATTTGAGTCTCCTCCAGTGACGCCCAGTACTCAAACTGTGAATGTCAGATGCAAAAGAGACATGACTCCAAAGAGCAGCAGCACCGTGCTGAGCCAGTATTTTCCTAAGAAGCCCAAAGCAACAACCATTAAAGAATATCAAGAAGATGTTCCTGTTACTCAAATGATCAAGGAAGAGCCAATGAAAGTGGAGCTGCCATATGTCCAAGCTCCAGTACCAGTTAAGCAAGAAGAGCTGCACTTACCAGCTGTTTACTCAAGGGATGAATCCGCTCATTCTTCCTCTGTGTGTAAAGATGTGAAGCCTATGATCAAAGGTAATTTTCATTTTTTTCTACTTCATTACTATTAAATGAAGGCAATTTGTTGTAATCAAATTGAAGGACATTTTTAATTTTATTTACCTCTACCTTTGCCTCTACTCTTTTCCAGTGGACTGCCCTGTGTGCTCCATAAGTGTGGCACAGAATTTCATAAACAAACATCTGGACATGTGTCTGTCAAGTGGAGAAAAGAAGGAGAGCTTAAGAAGGTAAATGGCCACTTATTTTGTGTGAAGAGGCTGTAAAATGTTGTTTGACATCAGCCCTTATACAGTGCCCCCTTGAACCTTTCAACATTTCGCCACATTTCAGGCTTCAAACATAAAGGTATAAAAATTAATTTTTTTTGTCAAGAATCAACAACAAGTGGGACACAATCGTGAAGTGGAATGAAATTTATTGGATAATTTAAAAAATGTTAACAAATAAAAAACTGAAAAGTGGGGCGTGCAATATTATTCGGCCCCCTTGCGCTAATGCTTTGTAGCGCCACCTTTTGCTGCAATTACAGCTGCAAGTCGCTTGGGGTATGTCTCTATCAGTTTTCTATCGAGAGACTGGAATTCTTTCCCATTCTTCCTTGCAAAACAGCTCGAGCTCAGTGAGGTTGGATGGAGAGCGTTTGTGAACAGCAGTCTTCAGCTCTTTCCACAGATTCTCGATTGGATTCAGGTCTGGACTTTGACTTGGCCATTCTAACACCTGGATACGTCTATTTGTGAACCATTCCATTGTAGATTTGGCTTTATGTTTTGGATCATTGTCCTGTTGGAAGATAAATCTCCGTCTCAGTCTCAGGTCTTTTGCAGACTCCAACAAGTTTTCTTCCAGAATGGTCCTGTATTTGGCTCCATCCATCTTCCCATCCATTTTAGCCATCTTCCCTGTCCCTGCTGAAGAAAAGCAGCCCCAAAGCATGATGCTGCCACCACCATGTTTGACAGTGGGGATGGTGTGTTCAGGGTGATGAGCTGTGTTGCTTTTACGCCAAACATATCATTTTGCATTGTGGCCAAAAAGTTAAATTTTGGTTTCATCTGACCAGAGCACCGTCTTCCACATGTTTGGTATGTCTCCCAGGTGGCTTGTGGCAAACTTTAAACAAGACTTTTTATGGATATCTTTGAGAAATGGCTTTCTTCTTGCCACTCTTCCATAAAGGCCAGATTTGTGCAGTGCACAACTGATTGTTGTCCTATGGACAGACTCTCCCACCTCTTGGCTGCATCTCTGATCAGTCTTCTCCTTGTTTGAGATGAAAGTTTGGAGGGACGGCCGGGTCTTGGTAGATTTGCAGTGGTCTGATACTCCTTCCATTTCAATATAATTGCTTGCACAGTGCTCCTTGAGATGTTTAAAGCTTGGGAAATCTTTTTGTATCCAAATCCGGCTTTAAACTTCTCCACAACAGTATCTCAGACCTGCCTGGTGTGTTCCTTTGTCTTCATGGTTCTCTCTGCGCTTTAAACAGAACCCTGAGACTATCAAAGAGCAGGTGCATTTATACGGAGACTTGATTACACACAGGTGCATTCTATTTATCATCATCAGTCATTTAGGACAACATTGGATCATTCAAAGATCCTCACTGAACTTCTGGAGTGAGTTTGCTGCACTGAAAGTAAAGGGGCCGAATAATATTGCACGCCCCACTTTTCAGTTTTTTATTTGTTAAAAAAGTTAAAATTATCCAATACATTTCGTTCCATTCACGATTGTATCCCACTTGTTGTTGATTCATGACAAAAAATTAAAATTGTATATCTTTATGTTTGAAGCCTGAAATGTGGCGAAATGTTGAAAGGTTCAAGGGGGCCGAATACTTTCGCAAGGCACTGTAGCTCAATGACGGACATGAAATACTTATCTAAAATGACTGCCACATCTCTTCGGCTCCTTCAGCTGGGGACTTGAAGCATAGATGGTTATGTGTTCTGAAATGTTCCGTTTCGGCTAGTGAATGTAGCAAAATTGTTACTCATGATGTTGGGTTGACTTTAATAACCGTCAGTGCTGTTCTGTTGCAGTTCTCTTGGAAAATCCATGCGTCCAATGACAAAGCCGGTGTACAACCTGCTCTCTCTGCAGGAGCTGAAGAGGCGCCTCAAAGACTGTCACCTCTCAGCACAGGGGACCCGAGAGCAGCTCATCAAGAGACACCGGGACTTCATCCACATCCACAACGCTCAGTGTGACTCGCTTGACCCAAAATCAGGTACAGACCGAAGGTACATGTTCAAAGATGGAAATGAATATTCAGTCTTTGGTTGGGCATATTCTCAGACCATGTATTGGCATATATATATATTTATAATTAATTATATAAGCCGACTTTTCCCTTGTTCCAGTAGCCCACTTCTCATCAAGTTGCTGTGGTTCCCCAGCACCAGACGCAGACCTTGTTTGGCCGGGCGACGTCAATATTAATAGTCCACCCTATTAGTTGAAACAATAACTTGACTGAACATGTATCAGTCTACTGTGCTGTGGCAGTTGTAACACAGTCCTGCTTACTGCAAATGTGCCTAAACAAAGCTGTATCTTATTTGTTTTGTTTTATTTTGGTCGAAATCACCCTAAATAACAGGTCGCTTAATTTCCATAAAATCACTTTAAATCTAAATATTGTTTATATAATAGGAGCTTTTTTTTTATGCCTTTTGTTTTGTTAGATAACTTCGTTAAATGTCTGAAGCATACTTTTAAGTGTTGGGGTTTGTATTGAAAATGTTGACACCAATATTTGAACTTTTACTGCAAATGAATGCTCCATGGGCCTCCATCTTCCTCCTTGACAACAAATTATTATTATTGAAATTTTAAAAAAAGACAACAAATGCTCTAACGGTATATTCAGAATGAACTTTACAGCTGCTGAGCAATTTTAAATCTGAAATTTCTGTTGACAGTGCAAGAAATTGCCAAAGAAGTGGAGGCCAATGAGAGGATGAGGACCAAACTGAAGGAGAAGACGACGCCTGTAAGTGCCATTATTCTGTTGTCATATGAGACTGAAAATGTATTAGAGGCTGTTGCCCCTCTGGGATCTTGGTTTTGTAAGAGACGACAATGAAAGTGCACACATCAAAGCATGTTAGACCACGCCCTCCAGACTACAATATAATTTTTTTTTTATCAATTTATTTATTGGCGGTCTCAAACTACTTTGCATATAGCACCCTCCTGGCCCATGGTTGAGTTTTGATTCAATCCAAATTGCTGTATTAATTTTTTTCAGAAGAATTACCCAACAATAAGATTCAAACTTGTATTCAGTAAATTTAATAATTGTGTCTAAATACCTTCCTTAAAAAAATACCCACAGACCATGGCAGTGGAATAACTGTATGAATTATTGTTACCATAATATGATTTTGCTCTTCCTTAAGGTCATGGTTTTCTCTAAGGACCTCTCAGAGAAAGATATTGATGGCATGCATTCAAATTACAGTGAGTATTGCTTTTTCAGTAAGACAATATTTATATTTTTACATACTCTTTTTGTATTGAATGAAATATTCTGGACTGGCCTTTTCTTGTGTTCAAAGAAAAGACCAGTCCAGATAGCAGTGTATAAAAGTGTCTCTCTATCAGCATTGTTGTGTTAGGGTTTACAAGAAAAACAAGAAGAATGAGCCATGGAACAAAGCACACATAAACCATGATCCCTTGCACCGCATTGTCATAAAAAGTGTCGAGCCGAGTGCATTCAATCTGCTGTGATAATGTGCAAGCCCCTGCAGCTTTTAAGTCAGATTTATGGAAGCATTTAGGTTTGTGTGTGTAAAAGAAAAAAGAAAAACTTGTACATTTAATCCTGATTAGTTAACTCGCTATTGATTGCACATTATTATCTATTCTAAATGTCTCTTGATTTGAGCTGTGACCTGGAGATAGTTGTGATTACTGATGGATGTCTAGTAATCATCTGTGAGCACAAACGCCTGCTGTACCTTACGTCCCCTACACTTCGTACGCTCCATGAAGAATAAAAGGCTCCCACAGTTTCGGGCGTAGGTTGCTGCCCAAAAAATTGCCTACGCGGCTTTCGGTGAAAATACATGGGTTTTTCATATCTGAACTCTGAACATTGTAAAGCGGTCTATAAAAATGCACTGTATAAATTAAGATTACTTACTTACTTAAAGTAGACCAGCGCCACTTGTATTATAGTGTTTAGTGACAGCTGGCAGGTTTGTCTGGATTCTGGACATTGGGCCTCATTCACGAACGGTTCTTAGGAACAGATTTGTACGTAAATCCTACTTACGCGGTTTTTACGAAGAAAGTGGCATTCACGAATATTTCTCGTAACCAGAATTTCTCTTGGGCAAGTACAAATCCTACGAGTCCTCAGGAGCACTCGTACGCATTCAGTGCCGACATGTTCACACGCCGGGGTTGTCCTCTTTGGTGAAGTTGAATAAAAATACAACATTCCAGTGATATGTCCGTCATATCGATGTATGTATTTATTCATTTGTAGTAATCTTTATTAGTAATCTTTATTTATATACCGCCTTTTTCACTGCAGATCTGGCCTACTTTTTAATTCATTTTGAAATGAAATGTGCCAACGCTTTATCAAATACATTGGAAATCTTGCCGTGTATTAGTGACCCCTTCCTATTTATAGGGGGCATTTCTTTATCCACGGGCCACAGAACGGCATATATACTGCTGCTGCAGGAGGTTACTGGGTCCGTGCTGAGTCTCTGCGCTGGTCTCTCCCATGGATCTATACGGGTCTGCACTGGTCTCTCCCATGGATCTATACGGGTCTGCACTGGTCTCTCCCATGGATCTATACGGGTCTGCACTGGTCTCTCCCATGGATCTAGACAGGTCTGCACTGGTCTCTCCCATGGATCTATACGGGTCTGCACTGGTCTCTCCCATATACGGGTCTGCACTGGTCTCTCTCCATACGGGTCCGTGCTGCATGCTCCTGGATCCATACGGGTCCGCGCTGGTCTCTCAAGTCTGGTCTATGCGGTCTATCTTCGGTCCGCGCTGGTCTCTGCGCACCGGTCTCTCCAGTCAGGTCACTCCAGTCTATGCGGTCTCTCCTATAGGTCCGCGCTGGTTTCTGTGTGCTGGTCACTCCAGTCTCTCCTCGGGTCTGCATTGGTCTCAGCGCTGGTCCGCGCTGGATCTCCTCCCAGGGTCCAAAATATTTTGAGATTAATCTCAAAACATTTTGAGATTCATCTTTAAAATAATACATAATATATTTTTAAATTAAGCTCTTATCATAATATTTCGACTTTTAAGTCAACATTTTATAACTTTATTCTCAGTCTGGTAAAAGAAGAAAAAAGGCCTGCTTTAGGCCTGTTGCTGTTTCCTCAGCCGTCTGCACACGGCCCTGCATCCCCTTATATGGGCATTAGTGGGCGGTTACTTATGCTAAGTACCTATGCTAATGAAGCACCTGGCACGCGCGCTGTATTTACGAGGAAATGGGATTCATCAATCTGAGAGAACAGCTGCGAACAATTCAGCGGCTTACGAGTGCGTTGATGAATCCCACGTAGGGATTTCTTAGAAATCTACTTAAGGACAACTTGAGAAGAAAGTTGAGTAGTTTCTTACGAAGTTATTCGTGAATGAGGCCCAATGTTTCTTACTTTACTCCTAAAGTCTTACATCTGACCAAAGCCACAGAGACCATAAGGGCAAACACATACATCTGACCAACACCAGCTACAGAGACCATGAGGACAGACACATACATCTGACCACACCAGCTACAGAGACTATGAGGACAGACACATACATCTGACCACACCAGCTACAGAGACCATGAGGACAGACAAATACATCTGACCACACCAGCTACAGAGACCATGAGGACAGACACATACATCTGACCACACCAGCTACAGAGACCATCAGAACGAGCACATACATCTGACCACACCAGCTTCAGAGACCATGTGGACAAACGCATACATCTGACCACACCAGCTTCAGAGACCATGAGGACAGACACATACATCTGACCACACCAGCTACAGAGACCATGTGGACAGACACATACATCTGACCACACCAGCTACAGAGACCATGAGGACAGACACATACATCTGACCACACCAGCTTCAGAGACCATGTGGACAAACGCATACATCTGACCACACCAGCTTCAGAGACCATGAGGACAGACACATACATCTGACCACACCAGCTACAGAGACCATCAGAACGAGCACATACATCTGACCACACCAGCTACAGAGACCATGAGGACAGACACATACATCTGACCACACCAGCTACAGAGACCATGTGGACAAACGCATACATCTGACCACACCAGCTTCAGAGACCATGTGGACAAACGCATACATCTGACCACACCAGCTACAGAGACCATGTGGACAAACGCATACATCTGACCACACCAGCTTCAGAGACCATGAGGACAGACACATACATCTGACCACACCAGCTACAGAGACCATGTGGACAAACGCATACATCTGACCACACCAGCTTCAGAGACCATGAGGACAGACGCATACATCTGACCACACCAGCTTCAGAGACCATAAGGGCAAAAGCATACTAGGAGTGGGCAATAACTATAGGAGGCAATAATTATGTGAAACGCTTTTTCACATTATCGAGATACTGGCTCTATTTCACTTTTGCCGATTTGCCTGTTTGTCTTTTCTGTGCTACGCTCGCCCCGCCTCCTTTTGCTCCCCCTCGGCCCCTCCCCTTTCCTTTATCTCATTCAACACAGCAGCGGCGCCACTTAGCTAGCAGCAAAGAGTGTAAAATATGACAGAAGCGCAGGTGGTGTAGTTTGCTTTTCTCACAGCAGTGGACATTGAACAACGTTGCTTCATTTATTTCACGATTCAAATGATCTTTGTTAGCAGAAAATTATTTTGAGGTTCAATAAAAAATAAAAAAAACGTTTGGAAATTGGCATGTTTGTAATTGTAGGAGTTTTTGGAGGGTTGTTTATTCTGTAAAAATATATAGATATTGAATATATATCAGAAACATTTTTTTTTTCTCCTTGTCTTCCAGTCCTAAAGCATACATTTGACTTTAGCTGCTGTCGTCTGGCATGTACTGTCCTTACTCTACATTCTTCACTGTTGCGATTCACAAGCCTACTTTTTTTTTTTTTATGTCTGAGCTACTGAAGTGAAATTGTTTCTAGTTATACATTGTTGCCTCAGCATGTGAAAAACATTAAAAACTGACGCCGTTAAAATGGGTTTCTGTTGATGTTGTCAATGACAGACTATTTCCTAGGCACACTAATAAACATCTCAAGGGACACCAACATGCCACAGCACACTAGTTGAAAAACACTGGATTAAGGTACATTTTATTGTCCTCTGAATTTGACATACGCCTCATTCCCACGAGGGCCGCCTGTTCCGAGATGATCTACAGATGTTTTGATGCTAAACTAACCATGTTATCTAAAATTAACATGATAATCGTATCGGATTTCCCTGGAGGATTTTCTCTCAGTGAGAGTTTTGGGTGGTGGGGCAAAGCAGAATCTCAGGAGAAAACTCTCCCAAAAACGGGGAAATGTGTAAACTCGCACAGAAGGGCCTTACTGGCAGACATGAGTGCTACCCACTTGTGCTTGCTGCACGCCATGTGTCATCAAACACTGTGAATATCAGATGCATACGGACAGAAAGAAATGCAGTTCAAACAACGATGGGACTCTTGAGTATACTCTGAGAAGTAAAACAAAAGGGCAATGTAACCTCTCGTCTCTCCAGAGAGACCCATCTTTGCAAGTAAATAAAGCCTGTAGTCTCTTTAGCGCTGAAGGTTAATGGCCCATTACAAGTCCATCCATGTAAAGCAGAGGTGGGCAATTATTTGTACCTTTTAGCATGTACAGGGTCATAACCAAAGTGTGTTTGGTAAAAAGAATTACACAGACCAGAAGTGATGTGGCAATGGATGAAGTGGAAGAAAATGGATAGATGGATCGAAAAAAAAAGTTACAATTTATTTACAAGGTTTTAGGATGTAATTGATAATATATATTACAGTTGGACGGCAGGTGGCAATAGAACTCTGAAGGAAAGAAGCAATTTTTGAATGAAAATCTTAAGAAAGTAAGTTTTTTCAAGATCTTTATTGATTGGCGTTAAATTCAAAAGGCTGGTATGATTTTTTTTTTTTTTTTTTTTTTTTAAATGCATTCTTTTGAATACTTTTTATTCAAGAAAAAACTCAATCACACAGCTCTAGGACAATAAAGAACACCAGATTAAACTCATAATCTATATTTAAAACAAAAATAACACCAGGGTAATGGGACAATTGAGTTTATCATCAGATCTTCTTCAGATTATCTTGGGCAAATGAACACTCGAAAAAATGGAAAAATATGTTCAAGCATTTATCTTGTGTCATAAAACTTTCTCCAAAAACATTAGAGGCATATATCAATCTTTATAAATTTATTGCGTTGTTATTCTCTTGCTTGACTTTGTGAATGGAGGTGGGATGCAGATGAGGACATAATATTCTCATTTTTTAGAGTCCTTTTGAATGGCCAACATTATGCGTATCACTGCTAACTACTTTGTGGAGTGGCAGACGAATAAATACACAAATGAATTGTCAAGCACTATGTGACTAAGTTGTCAAACTACTTACGAGATGTCAAACTTTGTTACTTTGATTGTAAAATATAAGATATAAGAAGTATGAAAAATCTGGTAACTATCAAAAGTCTGTTTCCCTCCACCATCATTTTATTACTTTGATGTCACATTAACGCAACATATTGGCCTTTTGAGGATGATCAGTATTGTCTTATCAATTCTTTTATTTGCTATGTCAACAATTTAGGATTCTGAATGAACATGTTCAACATAACAAATATTATATTTATAATTGCCAATAGGTATTTTATCAGTAAAGAGATCTGGAGCGGTAAAAGTAACTTAATTCACATCAACAGGTGATGTTTGTGTACGTGCAAGTACAACTCCAGATGTTTGTCTGTAGTTGTACTTGGCATAACATTCAAAGCTGATTGCTGCAGGAATGGATGATTGTGCAGATGAAGATAAAGCCATTCAATCTTGTGTTGGTGCAAGTTTTGTAGCTTGGGGGGAAGGATCAGTTGCTTATTTTCAATACTAGGGCTGGATTATAAGCAATATTAGAAGGAAGTATCACAATAACATTCTTGATGAATGTTATTCAATTATACGATTCATTATCTGTGTATGTCGCTCACACCGCTGTGCTCTGCTGGCTTAATTATCATTCATTAAATAACCAGCAAGAGCGTTTGAGATTGTCTCTAAGGGAGTCCCACATGAGTTGCATTATGATTATCCTTAAAGCTAAACCCAGCCATAAGACCACTATGTTTGAAAGGGTTATTGCCCCAGTCACACACCCCACTGACCATCGGCAGGCAGCAGTGATGCGTGGTGCAAACTCTAGTCCACAGCGGGAGATTGTCAAAATATTGCATCTTAAATCTGTCTTGTATAAATTCTGCCTCTATTACCTCCAACAAGAGGGCTTCAAACAATCTCACGGTCTCAAGGATTTTGAAGCACTGGGCACTGCCATCTTTAATGTGTAGAACTAAATTATGATTGAGATATAAATGATAAAACAATTAAACTATTTTGATAATAGTAAATATTTATAAGATGTTAATGGGAAGATTAATATTCTCCATCAATATACTTTCAAATGTACTTTTTTCCTCTTTTACAATTACTTCTAAAGCTTGCTTATCCAGTCCATCTACTACTTACTGTTAAATCTAAACAAGAATGTATGTGTAGCCCTTTGTTTTGATGCTAGAAGTACAGTTCAAGGTATCTTCCCTTTGGCAATTGCAGCTGAGAACGTCATTTGAACTTGTGTTGACATGGTGGAACAAGATAAAGAGCTTGATGAAAATAACTCTTGTGCAGTTAACTTTACAATGGGTCGACACATGGAAGTGACTCAGAGAAGGTGAGCTCTATAAATAGCCGCTCTACAGGCTGATAACCTCCTGATTTATCAGACGGGTGTGTGGATGACTCACTCCGACAGACAATGGGGAGAGCGGACAGGACGGGAAAGGAAAATAAATACAAATTGCAGTGAAACTAATTAAATTATGTTTAAAATGAGTTGAACTACGGTTTTGCTATTAAACACTGCTCGGGTATGGCTTTGATTATTCTTCGGCAGCTGTTTTACCTCTATTTAATATGATAACACAATTAATAAAGATAAAATAAATAATTTCTGAATCACTTAGGGCAAACTGAGGTAGATACATAGGTGCACAGAAAACCATATGTTGCAAGTAATACTTTTATAATACTTTTATAATACAACTTTTCAATTTCAATCCAATTAAATGTATTTTTGTATAGCCCTATACGTCCCATCAGCAGTTATCTCGGGGAACTTTACAAAGTTGTGGATTTGCCGACACAGATCAGAGAATGTTTCTATGTATGTTTTGAAATACCTCGCCATTTAGTGGCAACACTCGAAGAAAAAATAGTGGTTATTCAGATGGCAGTACATTATATCCTTATGATTACATGTGGGTCAGGTGAAGGTTATTAAACTACAGGATTCAAGAAGTCACACAAGGGACAAAACTTTACATAATGACATCGTAACATTCTGAGTAACAAGAGAGCTCTTATAGCTCTTACATAATTTATTTCTTTATGAAGTTGTCCTTATTTTGTAATTTCCGGGGGTTTTGACAGCGGTCCAAACAACATTGCAATTTTAACCCACTGTTGTCCAGTGTCGACATGGCATTTCATCATGGGTCCAACAGTAGCTCAAAGTTGTGCACCTAATTTTACATTTTAAAACGGAATCTGTTTTCAATCTACTAACTAGAAATAATATTTAAGTTAGTTGTTTATTCAATTCAGTTTTAAGACCAGAATAATTGACTAATTCATCAACAACTTTTCTGACTAAACATATAATTGTATTTGTTTTAGGCTAAGTGCTGGATTCTGCATACTCATTTCAGTTTCTTTGGGCATGAATACATATTTTTCTGTAGTGCCAGTATTTCGCACATGAAGGGCGTCCTAGACTTTACCCTTTCTTTAATGCTTGTGCATTGACTGAGCTTGCTGAGGTGTGTTCTGCCCTACAGGGAAGCAGCACAGCGGAGACTTCACACGTCTGATCGCACAGGTCCGGGGACGCCTCCAGACCAGTAGCTTGGCAGGGGTCACAGCTGGAGGAGAGGATATGCTCACGCCCGTCCCAGGTACAGCATTATACAGAATTATAAATAGCAACAAACATGCTGTGCCAGGACAACCTTGAATGGTGCAAAAATACAAAATCCCTACAGGAGAATAAACTTGTTACTAACTTTGTGCATTGATCTGGAACTTACTGTAATTACAGTACTTTAGAGGTGACAGTGGTTCAGTTGGTAGACCTACACTACCGTTCAAAAGTTTGGGGTCACCCAAGTATTTTCCATGAAAAGTCATACTTATTCACCACCATACATTGTGAAATGAATAGAAAATAGAGTCAAGACATTGACAAGGTTAGAAATAATGATTTGTATTTGAAATAAGATTTGTTTTACATCCAACTTTGCTTTCGTCAAAGAATCCTCCATTTGCAGCAATTACAACATTGCACCAAAAACCAGACATTTGTAGCTAGAATAGTCATTTACCACATACACAATGTATAGAGTGTATTTCTTTACAGTTAAGACTAGTTTAAAGTTATATACAGTGCTTTTCCTTCAATAATAAGGACATTTCAATGTGACCCCAAACTTTTGAACGGTAGTGTACTTCACCTCTCCCACTGTTATCTGCTGTTGTTGTGTCCTTGGGCAAGACACTTAACCCCACTTTGCCTGAATAGAATGTGGTTACATCCCAAAGCGCTATCTTTGTCTACTCTCCTTGATAGCGCCTCCTCTGTTCCTCCCTCTCTCACACATTTCCTGCTGATGAACACAGGGATCGAGGGCACGAGGAGAGGAAGTGAGGAAAATGATTGGTTGTCAACAGGGAAAATCAGATATTTTCCTTGTGAATCATAAACATCATAAGTCTTTTTTTTAGTTGTTTATTCAATTCAGTTTTAATTCAGTACATATTAAACATTAACCTATGAATAAGTAAAATACCAACATTTTTCAAAATTTTGTTCAGATGAGTCTTAACAATAGTTATACTGGTAGTAGTATACCGGGCGGCACGGTGGCTGAGTGGATAGCACTCTCGCCTCTCAGCAAGAAGGTCCTGGGTCTTTCTGAGTGGAGTTTGCATGTTCATGTGTCTGCATAGGTTTCCTCCGGGTACTCCGGTTTTCCCTACCACTAAAAATATGTCCAATAGTTCTGGCATGCGCCTCCTGTACTGGCCCCGCTCCCATCTCTGTGTGGAGTGACAGACAAATGCCCAAAATTAACAATTGTAAACCGCTTTGAGACTCAGATCTGCAGTGAAAAGGCGGTATATAAATAAAATAAAGAAAGATAAAGATAGTAGTTTGATATACAGTACCTGAAATAAAATCTTGTTGTTAAAACGATAGATATATTTAGCTATAGATAGCTTTATTTGACAAATTCTCGTATGAATAAGAAAGATAAATGCTTGGTGCGGCCTGTTCTGGTCTCATGGTAATTGAATACATGTCTTGCGTTGGCCCCCAATGAACCCATGTGGCTTTGGGGAACGCTGGACCACAGTTGACTGTCAAATATGGATTCTTGAATACGTCAACCTACGTTCTCCACTACGAATTCTTTTAAAGGTAGTTGACTTGTCGATGGAATAACCTGTAAATCACTACAGCAGATTTATCTTTGCTCATTTGTTTACTTAAGTTTTTGCATTATTCAACAATGGTATCTTGTTGAAAGATGCTCCCCCCACTGAATGAGACTGGAGCTGCATTTATATCGTTATGAGAAGTTAAAACTGACTTGTTAAGCACAGATTCCTGCCTTGTGTCCCAGTCTGTGACACTCCTCCCCAACTACATTGTGTTTCCCACCTTGGACCTCGACACCAAACAGTAGAGGAAAGGGGATGGTTCTCTGTGAATTGGGTGGCATCTCTGACTGCCATGCACACCCCCGACCCAGAAATGGATTAAGGGGAAAAAAATGGATGGATGGATAGATATTTGACACCACTAATGCTTTCAAATTGAGCAATCGTGCAGGATTACATTTCAATTAGGATGGTACAATATTTGGCCAGTATACACTTTTTATAATGTACATTAGACATTAGCCTTTTCTCTGGGGCCAGGACTCTCCTGAAAGATAATCTGAAATCTCAGTGGGACTTTCTGTTTAAATAAAGACCATTACTACTGGCCTCGGCTAATTTTGAATCCCGTGTGGACGCCAGGTGTTAGCTCCATATCGTGTATTGTTTTGTAATTTAGTTTTATTATATTTATTGGAACGTTTTATTCCAATTTTAATGGATGGTCTTCTGTTGCCAACTTGGCTTTGCAATATCAATATACAATATACTGACATGTGGACACACTGAAAAAATTCTAACTATAACAATCAGATGTCGTTGACCAGGCCGTTCTACATTCTGACAAACATGTTCAAATGCTGAAGGGTCGTTTGTTTCTATGTTCTCCCACTGATAAAAGGCCAATCAGACATTGTGTAACTGAGGATAGCATTTCGCTATATAGGACGGAGATATATATTTATATATATTAGTGCTGTCCAACGATTAAAATATTTAATCGCGATTAATCGCATGAATTTCATAGTTAACTCGCGATTAATCGCAAATTAGTCACACATTTGTGTGGGTGTGTGTGTGTGTGGGTGTGTGTGTGTATGTATGGGTATACACCAAAGACTGTATAGAAACATCATGGTGTCATTATGATGATGATAAACAATCTGTAAATATTGTGTAAATTTGTCATGTAAATACTCTATGCTGTTTCTCTGTTTACTTTCGGTATATCTATGACTGTATACTGTTTGCTTGTATAGCCTTTTTTATTAACCCCTCCCCCCCATCTCCCACTTCATGCCCCCCCCCCCCCCTCCTATGTGCCCTTCTGGGTTTCTTCTTTGGCCCCCTGTATCTCCAACTACATATTGTTTGTAATCTCTGTCTACAATGTATCTGAACTAGTCCTTTTCTTTGTTTCTATTTTTTTTTCTGTATATGTGTTTGTCTGCAACAAAAAGTAAAAAAAAAAAATTAATCGCGCGATAAAAAAAATGACGCCGTTAATATTGATTTGCGTTAACACGTTAATAACGCGATATTTCGGACAGCACTAATATATATATATATATTATATAAAATTAGGACGGAGGTCCGCCACATATAGGCAACAATTGTTTAATACAGTTTGAGAGAGTAAACTACCTCCTACTTACTGAAATAACTACCTCTACTTACTATAAGACATAGATTTATGTGAATGTGCAGCTTTATGTTCAATGTTGACAAACATGATCTAAAAAATGTCCTCTGACGCATTACAGACTCAAAAGATACCATTGTGATCAACTCGGGGGAGAGTGCTTCCGAAGAAGAAAATAGTTCGCAGATTCTCCTGTCAACAAGCCCAACAGACAGCGATGTGTCTGTCAGCAGGTGGGAAAGATACATTATCATATTTATATTTTATTATTATATTATATTATATTATATTATATTCACCTCAATTCAAGGTCAATGTTTATTACCTCTTTTTCCACAGTGTATGTATGGTCCAAACCCCACAGCTCACGTTGTGGTGGATATTGATCCACAATATCTTTGAAGTTAGCAAATTCAACAATAAAGTCTTGAGTGAACCACATCAATATTAATGTCATTGTTCTCATCAACAAACAGATCTGGGGTTTGTTTTTAGATCTATACTCGCTGACATCTTGACTTTCTGGCTCAAACTTGTAGCTCTGCCCTTTCTGTTTAAAAGCTCCATCTATCTAGCATCTCAGATGTCTAATTTTAATGGAAAACTAGTGCTTATAAATTATGTTGGCCAATTGCAAGTGGCATTGCACCCTTCTCTGGTAGGAGCATACGGGTGAGGCAGGCTGATAGTATTGTTTGGCCTTGATTTCAAGATATAGTTTCTAGTGAAGGTATTATTTCACACTCTAAAACAACACATTCTAAAATAAATGCTCATGATTTTTGAGAAATATAGGCCAAAATAAGGCCTAATAATTGTGTTTTTAAATTGGTATGTTTAGTATTCTACCTTGATCTATATTTCATGTATGATGATTAAAACGGAGTAGATCAACACAAATATTAAAAACACAATGTAGGTCTTTAACTTGCGTGAGACTTTCCATCCATGTGTTTGGTCTGGGGAAATTGATTTTAAGTCCATTTCCTGTCCTTTTCCTGAGGCTTCATCTCATAATTAAGAAAGCAGCTGTCCTCTGGCGATCAGGTATCTACTCTGTGGCCGCACGAAAAGCAAAAGTGCAGGAGAAATGTCAATCTCATCTGCACAGTGGGCCAAATTGGTTGCTGCCGTTTTTCTTTTTGCCCGTACTTGCGGAAATCGTTCATTGTAGAAGTGAATGCGACGTGATTGAGGGAAGCTGTATCACTAATTGCTTATTTTCTCATCACTACTTCCTTGTCATGATTTGCCGCATGATTCGCCGCAAATGCTTTTGACCACATACGTTTAATCACAAACTAACAACATGCTGGCCGCGTGGTTTGAGTGCTCCAAACATGCACATCCAAGTACTTCTTCACGGAGAAAATTGTGTCTCCTACGTGCGCGTGTCGTGGGCGATTACACGGCAAAGCACGTCCGTAAGATGGAAAGACTGCTGTGCATGAATCATAAATACGTTTTATATGTGTGGGAGCGCTCAATATGTGAGTCAAACTTCCACCTATAGATTTCTTTCATCTGCAAGACGAACATAAAAGAAACTGTTCCCCATCTATTTTTCAAAAGTGTTTGCAACTATATCCTTGAGCATGAAATCATTGCTAGAGATTGTTTTTGAGTGGCATTTTTAATTCCCACAAACAAACAGGGAGTTATTGTGGTTTCTATACATTTTCTGTACTGCTAATTTCTGAGATATTTGTACTATACAATACAATACAATTTATTCTTGTATAGCCCTAAATCACAACTGCAGGCATCTCAGAGGACTTAACAAAACCATTGAAATCACCAACACAGATCAGAAAATCAAAAGTTAAGCCAAAAATAAATATAGAACACATATTAATTGGTCCAAAGGGAGAGACCAATGTCCATGAATTTTGATAAATGTCCATACATGTTGTAGAATGTTAAAGTTTTATGTGTAGAGCGCCTTTCCTACACAAGGCAACACAAAGCACATCATAACCCATACCACATCAGGCATAAATCATAAACATTTAAAAATAGGAGGAAAATTTAAAAGACCTAAAAAAATAACAAAATAAAAACATGGAAATTCAGATCGCACTAATTTTAGGAAATAATTGTTCTCTCGTTGGGATTAAAATCATAAAGAGCCACAGTGCATTAAAATGTGTTGAATCCACATCTAGGCATAAAGATTTTTAACCTGGATTTGAAATCTGCCAGGGTCTATGTTTTTTTTCACAAAGATTGTTCCAGATTTTAGCTGCATAAATCGGAAACGCTGCCTCCCCATGTCTAGTCCTGACTCTGGGCACCTCTGGGCCACTGAAGACCTCCAGGATTAAATGTGTAATCCTCCAAATGTGTAACGGGGTGCAACATTAGGTCGACCAGCCAGAAGCCCTAGAATGTTGTTATTGCTCAAATGGCATCTGTTTATGATCATGTAGCAAGAGTTTTGAGTTCATTTGACTTTTTCTTGACGGGAAGGATAGTAATGTGAGTCCGACAGCCGACCATCCTTCTGCAATGTTGTTTCTATCATTTTCTCTCTTATTATTTTTCTTTCATTTCTGCTTTAGGACAATTAAGGACATCATCTTCTCAATAGTGCGGTGGTCACATACATGGTCTCAAAATGCTGAAAATTGATCTTTTTGGATCAATTTTCAGCATTTTGAGACCATGACTATGTAACTGGTGTAGTGTTTTATTGTACTTTTTTTTTTACAATATCAAGCATTGTTAAAGTTAAAGTATTTGAATTGGTTACATATGAACAGTTTCACATACATTTTTTGCAGCAATAAATTCAGTTCACATGATGAGATCATGAACACAAACTGAGGATTATGTCAAGATCAATATTATGTTTGGTCTCATGTGAACTGAGGCACAACTCACTGTTTTTTTTAATGTTTTTATTTCCTAAGATGTAGGAGCACTTTTTTAACCCTGAGTTTCTGTTAATTATATGCCTGTACAAAATGGTGAACTTGCAGCTTGAGTCTCTATCACTTGGGTTTAGTTCCTAAAACCAGGTGTTAGAGACGTCCCAATGAGGTAGAGAGCAGTTCCAAGATTAGAGTTGATATAGTGACTCCAAAAGTAATCCACCAAATGGTTGGTTTTGAAAAAGATATGGACAGGACAGACATAGACTGAACAAGCTGGTCAGGAGGGCCGCTGTCAGACTGTACAACAAGTCACTTTAATGACCTGCACTAGGACAGAAAAACTTTTTTTATTGTACATAATATATCTTGCACAACATTTTATTTTTAAACTTTTTAACATGTTTGCACACTTCATGTCTTATATCAGATTTCTATGTAACCAGTATTTACAATACTTTTACTTTAGGGGTTGCTCTTAACCGTCCCCTAACCGTCCCCTAGCCCATATTAACCCAATTTGGAGTCATTATGCCTGACCCACCCTAGTTATTATTGAAGAATGCTTTGATCAAGTTTATTACTGACTAACTTGACCTGTAGCTTCTTTGTTGAAAGAATGTTTTTCTATAACAGCAGTGACATGGTGGGTGTATATTAGTGCAATGTTTTTCCCATGACAAGTTTTAAAGCTTGAAACCAGACACAGAAGCAGCTACAGGTAGCCTTATCTTAGCATTAGCATGACTAAAAATATCTAGGATCTAGTACCAGGTGGAGGGAAAAGAGTTTTTGTGCCTCTTGCAGTAAATCTGGTTTTCAAATGAACCCCACGGAGCAGTCAGCAGAAAACATGGGATGAGTTTAAGGCCAAAGCGCTCAGATTTGCAAAAAAAAAAAAAAGTGCTTGAACTGCTGTGTGGGTGAAATAAAGGCTCAGGTAAATGGAGGTTTCAGTGCTCACATGGCCACAGAGAGGTGCTGCAGCAGCCCCACATCTCCTGCTCTGGGTGAGGAGGTGCAGACATGCTTAATATTCTTTCAAAATCTTGCAGTTATGTTCATTGTACCATCATGGAGGTTTCCTGGACATTTGCCTACAACCCACATAACATTTATTTCTATTGAACAAATTAACCAACACATTCTGGTGAACAATACCTTGCATTAACTGCCACAAAGAGTACACGTTTCAGAAATTAAAACATGATACAAGACTTACATTTTAGTTTCTATGTAATATTATTTCTGTTCCAGCAGGTAACTGTGTGAGACAAATTGCTCATCTTGGGATTAATTGGACAAGAATGCATTTGGAAGGTTTTATATGTGGATTTGAAGTAGTAATAACCCTTGTGCTATCCCTGGGTCAAATTGACACGCCACAATGAATCTAATTGTTTTATGATTTGGTCAGCCCTGGGTCATTGACCCTTTTAGACCCTAATTTAGGGTGTTTTTCTTCTTTTAATCATCGAGTAGCACATTGTGTATCATATTGTGTAACATCATATTGTATACCAGAATGGACAATGGAACAATGACCACAGCGTCGTTCAAAAGATCCTGATTGGAGCTTGATTCAGAAAATGGGGGTTTGGGGGTCATGGAACTAAACAAATGACAAGTAATGGTAATGTAGCACTAACTATAACAGAGCGGTGATCTGGACTTCGGACTAGAAGGTTTTATTGAATACTGTTTGAATTTAACATTGTTTGGATCAAGTTTTATGCAAAAAAAATGCATGAGCGTACATGCATATTCTTTTGGAATTGAAGTCTAATTATGGCACTATTGGAGATGTTCTTTACAGTGACGTTGCACCACGTTACATGCATTTATGCACAAGTATGTCATACTGATCTTCGAGGAATTAAAGAATGCTTCAAAGAAAGAACTGTTTGCAGCAGTACTAACCAAATAGATTTATCTTAGCTTTTCTTTGTTGACAATGGTTTGCCCCTTCCGATAATACAGTTTTGGTAGCAGCTGAACATTTCACAAATATCTATGCATATTGAATGTGTTCTTGTTTTCCTTCTTTGCAGTTCCATCTCAGACATCTTTGGACCTGAACAGTTGCGAAAACCTGCGTAAGTTATTCGGCTGCTTCTGTGATAAAATGTGTTTGCTTTGCCACCTTCAAATACTCTCTAAAGCTGGAACTAGAGTTGTCTTGGGGTCAGTGAATGTTTCCGACAGCACATTTTAAAGCTAGATAAACAGACATTCCAGATCTTTCACTTCTGTAAGCTTTAATTGCTCTGTGGTTTCTGGTGTCACAGTCACAGCGAAAGCAGAGTCATAAGCACTGTGTAAAGGGCAAATAGCTCATTTCTATGACTTCACTTTTTATTTTTATGTTTTAGGGCTGTAACAAAATGAATCCCCACTAATTGATTATTGGAATAGTTGTGAAGAAGTTTTGTGACTTTCAATAGATCTGTAGTCCCTGCAGATTAAAATGAATATTATTAAACTAAACAGACTGTACAATCTAAAATGTTATCTTACTGCTGCGGAGCTTCCCTCTGGAGTTAAAGTCTGAACTTTTTATTATTTGCAGCTCAAAAAAATTGCCACAATGACAATAAAGGGTCACATTTATACTGTATATCATAATATATCCTGCATTTAACATGTTTGCGCATTTATTTCTTTTGCACAATCTCGAGTGTTTCTATCCATGCCAGATGTGACATGTAAATTTCTCCTGTGTGAGATCAATAAAGGCTATCTTATCTTATTTCTCGCCTGAAATATTGTTAAAAGTAGAATTTGTGCCCTATTTCTAGTATTATTGATCAGATTGTCCTCTCAGACGTGGTTCTGTTGATCCCAGAGTGACGAGCTCCACTGTCGTCACTATAACATCCTCCTCACTGTTGAAAAAATTGGACTCATTCGCTAATTCTAACTAATAGGACAAAATAATCATGTTGCCATAAATACTGGCAGGCTTGATAAGTGGTCAAAGTTGGTTACATATGTTTTATGGTAGCCCTGTAACCTTGGAACTAACATACATTCTGAAAATAGAGGTAAGAAATTCAGTATATACAGAATTTTATCATCTCAGAATTTTAAACAAAAAACACATATCGATATCGGCAAATAATAGTCATTGACCACAACAGAAAAGTTAATAGCAACAAGCAACTTATCGATTTAAACAAATGAATGTATAATTGGATATATAATTACAGCCCTAATATTTTTCACTCACTAATCAGAAACAGCTTGAGTTGTTTTGTAAAGATGAATGGGAAAAGCATGCAGTCTCTAGAGTCTTAGAGTCTGCTAAAGAGGGTTCAACAAAGTGTTCGCTCATGTTGTATGAAAACTTGTGCAAACCCCAGCAAAATCATGTATAATCTTGCTTTCACTGCAGTTATCCAGTCAAAAATTTCCAGAATAAGAAAAAAGTTATATTCTCTGTTATATTCAGACATGGCATGACAAAACTACACATCATATTTTCACATATATTTCTCTGCTAGAGGGAGCAGGAGGCCTCATGAAATATCCTCTGAATCACAGTTGAGTCTGCCCTTTCATAATCACTCACAATTCCTAATAATCTTTCCTTGAATGATGTAGCCAACTTACGAGTTGAAAAGCAGCAAATCAATGGCCGTCTCAAGTTCTGGCACTTAATATGGCTCTCCACGCTCACATGTACACGGAAGATGTGACAACAACTCAATGCTTCTCTGCTTCCAACTGGTCGGACCACTCTAGTCCCAGTCGGCAGGTCAACAGTCCCAGTCCACTGCACTTTTTTGGCTTGACTCAAACGTGACTTGGCCCTGATGGTTTTCCTTTGGTTGCTGTCCCCCTGGAGCAGGAACTTTTTGGTTCCTGTTTCTCCCTCTGGTCCAGGGGGAAGGAGCAACATCAAAACATGGAGGTTAAAAGAAACACAAAACACAAGCTGAGAACTCGCCGCCACAGACAAATATCATCAAATGTTATTATTTTACATGCGAGGCAAAAGTACAGACTGCGAGCGCGGGGGAAATCCAACATTAATATGTGCCAGGCAAAAAAAGACCTTGTAAATCTTGTGCATCTTTGTATTGTTTGTTTCCTGTTGAGAAAGTAAAATCTGACTTTGAGATGAAAACATGTTCAAAGCACTCCTCATGCGCCATGTGACTACTTCAACGTCACATAACCGTAGTAAAACATGACTGTTTTATTTCAAATCAGAAGGAAACATTTGTGGCTAGTGTGCAACGCTTTGATGTGCAACCGGCTTCTGTCCCTGACTCCGGTGTGGAGCTGTATTTTACAGTGTGTGCACCGTTTTTGACAGCTGCAGCAGTGCTCTTAGACCTACATTGACATTTGTGCTTGAAAAGACTCTAATGGGAGGATACAAATCGGCTTTAAAACTAGTATGAAAGGAAAATGTAAGTGAATAATTTGAAGCTTGCCTGTCAGGCTTTGTTCATCAGCACACGGTTGCAAAATGCTTGGACATTTTAATGTCTGATAGTTGGACTTTTACTCCAACCCAAATTCCTCTGATTGCATTACATTGGTCTGTGTAGTTCATAGAGCTGCCAGACGTCATGGGCACGTACATGATTTTCTGTAGCACTTTATTCAACTCTTAACTCCCTCCATGTGAACTGCACTTTGAGGCAAGCACCACTTAGAGCTGTCTTTGAGAGAGGATTGTTAATTGACTGTCCACCACTTAAAGTCAAGGGCGATTGTTGAATGGCTTTGCAACTTGGTGACTGCGAGCACTAAAAGGCATTTAAGTCAAAATGGACCGTTACTCTTTCAGGGGTCTTTTATGCAATATTAATGTTTATATTTTCAACAAACTGTCCTGGTATACAGTTGGTGCAAAAAAGTATTTATTCAGCCACCAATTGTGCAAGTTCTCCCACTTCAAAAGCTGAGGGAGGCATGTAATTCTCACCATAGGTACAGTATACCTCAACTATGAGAGACAGAATGAGAAAAAAAAATCCAGAAAATCAAATTGTCCGATTATGATTATGGTGAAAACTATACATGAATATTTTGACACTTAAGTGCTTGAGTGAGTGATCTTAGTGTTTTTAGCTTTTGAAATGATCATAAAGGTAGGTTCCAAATGACAGTTTTACAAATGCAGAAACAGGAGACCTAGTTCCACTGTTGTCAAGAGGATCTGTCTGTCTTCCCAAAACACACATTTTGACATGAAACTGCTGCTGCTACCGTTTACTCTCACGCCTCGTTGTATTTGTACAATGACTATCTATTTTACACTTCTTTAAAAACGTGCCTGACACCCTCTGCTGCTCCTCTACTGCGGGACAAATAAAGGTTCTTGTCTGATCTTATCTATGTTCTACAGGGCTCGAGAGACGACGCCAACCGTTGTGGCTAAACGGCGGCGTAAAGCACATCTTAAAGCTGAAAAGAAGCTGGTGACATAATTGTACTCATACAATGTGAGAATAAACGGCTTACAGTAATTTGAACTGTATAATTGCACATTCCTATCTCATTTCAATTATTTTTAATAAAGATTTAGAGGTTTAGGTCTTTTCAGAAATATTGTTATTGCTCTATTTTTTGATCTTGTGTTTGATGTTGCAAAAATGTGACCCATGTTCTTTTAGTCAAGAACAATACTAAATCATTTTGTTCTGCATTACAGTTATTTGTATGTCTAAATGTCTTTGTATTTTTTTCTTACTATACAACTTTCAACTGCATTTTAAGTATGAATAAATATATTTATCAGTTAATATCAAGTGTTGAGTGAGTGTATCCCAGCTGGTTTAGTATGGGTTAAATCAGATTGAAATAAATGTACAATCACCCTAAAAACAGGCTGAGGACTGGCCTGGTGTTGGAGACCACTATAAAAACAACTGCATTACTTAAAGCAGGTCTCAAATGTACTCCTGTTGTGGCCCCTTCTTCTGCGTTTCCCAAGCAGGAGACCTCAGTGGGGTATTACAGGGAAGGATTGAATAGGTTTGGATATAATGAGCTGTCATGAAAGGACTTGTATATAATTTTAAAACTAATTATCTCAAGAAAACTTTGTAAGCATTGTATGTTTCATTGTATGTACTCGCTAAGCTTAGAAAAATCTAAAACTCAAGTTAATAAAAAGCAGTCAAGGTCTAATCCAAAATCCTCTGACCTTCATAATATCATGACTATATAAATAAAAGGATTGTATGCAAAATATGAGCTTTAAACCCTTTTTTTACGAGAACAGTGGATTCCTGGGTATAACTTTGAAAAAACCCTCTCAGAGATTTCAAAATCTTTTCACTCATGTCCTCAAGTTATAAATAATATAATGTATAAATCCTAGCAGTCCTGTGGGGCAGTTTAGGTTCAATAAGTGATACTAAGGTGATTGATGATGTGTAAGGTTTAGGTGGAAACCAGACACTGGGTTTCATCAAAGAAACTAGTTATCCAAACGCTTGTTCTGAATTTCTTGCATACTATTCCTTTAATTTGTTTCAAAAGAATTGGTGATAAACACGTGTTGCTACTGTCCTGATCTGATCATTCACTTTTTCAAGCATATTTCATGATACTAGATTCGTCCTTTGTCGTCCTCGAGACATACAAAACAGGTGCATTTGTACAAACAAATACAGTAAGACAGAAAGAACCGATAACAATGTGTGGGTGTGTGTATGTATCTCCCATCTGTCCTGTATCCCTGGCCATAATTTATACTGTGGCGCCTTCTGCTTGTGAAAGTCAGATCCCGTCAGCCTCTGAAGCTGGTCAGTACTGTGATGGGAGACCTCTGGGTACACCATGTTCCGCAGTGGGGCGGCTGCGGTTGTAAAGTGCCAAACTGTTGATTCGTTTCGGATTTAGAATGAGTCTGATGTGTGTGTATGAATGGTTAGTGGTGGTCAGAAGGGGCGACGGCTCAGACTGGTTACCTCGCTTCTGTTAGTGTGCCCCAGGGCAGCTGTGGCTAGAGTAGGAGTTTATCACCACCGTGTATGAAGTGAATGAGATGAGCGTCCCAAAAACGCTAAATTTAACTGATGCCTTAATAATATATTTGTACTATATGTATCTCTTTATTGTTATTATTGTATATGCTTAATTTGTGGAAAGATTAGGGCAAGCTGCGAATGTATGAGTCTGAGTGGAGCCAAGTACCAAGTGATTCACGTCTGCACTAGTGAGGAGCATAAACACAGGAGATTCCCTGATGATCGATGTGTGTGTCTGCGGAGCCTCGTCCATGACCATTTGGGATTAGGTCAAGATTGAAAGCACATTTTGCCTGAAGCCAGAGCTGTGACTATTTCCGTGGCGCTGTACGTTGCTCAGGACGTGGGCGAACACACATACTGAATGTTGATACTTTCCCTCTTCTACTTTTCGGTCAGTCATGGTTTGTTAATAGCCATCATTGGCACATATCCGCAGCTGTAAAACACATGGCAAATGGATTACGACCTTCATAAATCCTTGTTAATTGAACGACACCTCAGCTAGAGTGCTATTGCCTGTGTTTCCCAAGCACCCCAGATATGACCAATGGTAATGTGGTCATGTAGAAGATGGATTGTTTGGAAGATAGAAAGTGCGTGATTTACTCCTAGCCTTGAGCCCAAACCAAACAGCTAGTGGACTACGGTTGTTTTTCCTGCGCTCCTGGAGGTATATAAATTATGAAAAACTCAACAAATTGCCAAAACACATTTCAGCCTTAAGACATTTATCTCGGGACAAAAATACATTCTAACATTTCCATTTGGTATTGTTTTGATCCCCCGCTAACAAGTATAGACAGAGGATCACATTATATGGTCCTAAAACCAATGGGGCTTGCACAGGACAACACATCCTTTGTGTACCCTGCATTTTCTCCTGTTTGAAAAGAATCAAAACTACAGAATCTGTGATAAAATGCACTCATTCACAAGTTAAACAAGCTATACCAACATGTGTTTCTGTGCTTGTGAGATGCACCATCAGTTATTAATGCTCATACTACCTTAAGAGCTGGTCCGATCAATATACTTTTTGGACTTCATGAATTGTGTATTCATTTGTTTTGTTTGTATATAGATGAATGTGTTTCTGCTGCTACCTGCATTTCTCCTATGGGTGATCAATAAACTATCTATTTGTCTGTCTATATCTATACATCATTATAAAACTGACAAAAAACGTCCATGAATGCATTATTTCCAACAATTGTTTTCATCACAAAGTCTATGGGCTTGGCAGGGCCCGATCTATTGGATGATCTATCGGTGATTGGCCTTAACCATTTTTATTGAGTGTTTGATCAAGATTTTGAAGACCTACATGGACAGGTGACACAGCCTTGAATTAGATATGGAAGCGAGACCAAAGGGAAAAAGTGAAAGCGAATCCAAATTCCCCCAAGGACACAGGCAAAAATAAATCTTCAATTTTACATTCATGTCACAAGCATCTAGTTGTCTTCTTTGGCACGTATCTGTGGCCTTTTGAGATTAATTTGGCACTGATACAAAATGTTTATGCACAAGCCAAGCAAGCTGATTACAATCCAGTTAAGTAACCCTTCTTTTATTCAGCCAAATGTGTTTGTAAAGCTGTTTTTCATGTTTTGGCTATGTCCAGTAACCTTCAAGAGGGTCGGATGATGGGACATGGTTTGTATTAAAACATGTATTTGTGAGTCAGAAGTGGAAAGCCATGCTCTGTTGAAATTTATTTCAGTATAACATTCACCAAACAATTAACTTTTTCTGGAGATGGAATGCTGGCATAGCATATTTTGTCAATGCTCTCTGCCTCATGACCGCACCACCAGGAGGTGAGTCCACAGTGGGCGGGGCTGAGCCAGGCCAGGCCCCAGAGCTCTGCCATAGGTGACTTTACGATCCTCCATTTGTCACTATCCCCACAAGGATTTGGACTGACCTGTTACTAATTCCGCCAGAGGAGAGCCCTGTGGGGTCATTTTTGATGATTACCACTGCTGGTTTTCTTGGATTAAGCAAGTTCAAAGTTAAATATGAAATAGAAGGAGGCTCGGCCCTCACAGATTCTTTCTCCTACCAGCTCCTTTACAGTAGGTTGACCTGAACAGAAGGTCTGCCTTATGAGGACAAGTGCAGAGGTATTTTTAGCATAGCACATTTCAGACAGACCCCTAGACTTCAGATTATACTAAAGAGGCAAAAATACCATACAATAATGATTGCTCTCTTCTGTTGTATCACTGTGTCATTTTATTCAGATCTGGACTAAATATTCTTCATTTCAAACACAGTCTCAGACTAACATGATGTAATGATAGTGATGAACAAAGAGGTGCACTAATATGAAAAGTATGAACATGACCCTCCAACACTATATAGAGCAGAAATTACTGAACTGCAGGCTGTTATCAGCTACACCTGCACTTTCTAAAAGTGTAAAAGAAAGTGCACTAAGCCTCATTTCATGACATCAGACAAATTACACAGAGTCTGAAGCACTTCTGTACTCATCAAGTTTCACAGAGGTGAAGATATTTCACATGAATTCAAGTGAAACTTGAATTCTAGTGTTTCTGCAGATCAGCTCTTTTTTGATATATTTGGGGTGAAGATATGGGCTGTTCAGGTTGTTGTCCCTCGTGGCCTTTGCTATGATGCGTCTTCGTAATTCCAGATATGAGCCATATAAAAATAATAATAATGATAATAATGCATCGGTTTTATATAGCGCTTTTTTTGGACACTCAAAGACGCTTCACATGTCATTATTCTTTCACTCCAAACACGGTGGTGATAAACTACTACTGTAGCCACAGCTGCCCTGGGGCACACTAACAGAAGCGACGCAACCAGTCTATGCCATTGGCCCTTCCGACCACCACCAACCATTCACACACACACAAGACTCATTCTAATTATAATATAAGGATTTTGAATTGTCAAATGAATATCTAAAATATATATCAAATATTACTGCAAATACTTATTGGACATACAAATCTAGTGATATATGGGTGCCTGCCATGCCGTGTCAGCAAGACTTTGTAAAAGTTATGTCTGTTTATCAACTCTATCACTTAATTCTGTCATTATCCTTGACTACATTAGATGTGTCAGTAAAGGCCCATTTCACTGAAGGGTAATAGGTCTCTCAGAGATTGAAAGGCAAACGGAGCCGTAACAAATCAACAGCTATCTATAAGTGATTAAATCCATGGCAACGATTTACAAATGTCTCAATGTAGTGTGTGTAATGATTTAAGCTTTGGATATCCTTCTGATTTTTTTAAATTTGATGTTAAATTTGAAAGTTAAACCAAAGCAATTTGGCTGGCATTCCAATTGCAAGCACTTTTGAATGTGAACCAATGTGGCCATCTGCTAAAAATTACTCAAATCTGTGTAAAATTAGAGGGTAGAGGTTTCAACTGATCTTAATATCTGGCTATGCTCAATAAAGC